CGAAGGTAGAGGAAGGGGTAGGGGTCAGTCCTAAGAGTATCATGATGAAATGAATATCAATATAATAATCCTCTTAAACATTAATGTTACTATTGAACTATGTTTTATTTAATTGTATTTGTATATTGTGTTTCAATTTAATTGTTTAATGAATAAACTAGTGCACCAAGTTTATTAATCATCTCTATCGTCTTCATTGACAACTCACTGGTCCACTTAAGCCATACAACCAAGGGATTGGGTAAGTCAAAATATCTTTTAAAGTATCTGACCCCAGTTCGAGTCCTGGTCAGATACTTAGTTTGTTACTCAATCTTACAGTGGTTCTTGGAGATAAATTCTCAGTAAAGTCAAACTATTGCTGTTTGCAATGTAAAACCCGATTTTCCTTACAATATTTCAATTTCCAACTACTTTACAAAGCTCTACATCCGATGTTGGTAGTTCAGCCGGTTCAGAACACATGTTTTGTGGTCTTTTTGACTTGACTACATCTTGGTGCCTATTCCCTATGCAAACGACACCAAGTGGCATATTAAAAAGACCAGGAAATTTTATCGCTCATATCCATCGGTCGACTCAGTTATTGATTAATGTAAACAAGAATTTGGGTGATGCTGAACAACTTTCCAAAATTGCAGCACTTCTGGCTTCATCAGAATTAGGTAGTCAAGGATTACTTTATGATGCTGATCGGGTCACTCTTGGAAAACGATCAATGGAACATTGTTTTAACATTTACGAAAGTCGAATTACAAAAGCAAAAGAAAATTGTAACAATTTAGATAAAATTATAGCTGATGTAAAGAGCACTTGTAGCGAATTGAGGGAATATTCTATCTATAAACAACAGGCTCAACAACAAAGAGTAATATAAGAAGAGAGAGCGATCAACAGCAAAAAGAGCTGTTTGGGGATAAATCTCACGCGAGTCGCCACTGTCGTTTTCCTCTTTCTTTTCTCTTTCTTTTCGTCAACTAAATTGTGTAAAGTTTTCCGAATGATTTTAAGGCCATTTTCAACGAGATTTTATTTGAGCTTGAATTTAACATTTAATAGACCAAAATCTCGTTGAAAAATGGCTTCAAAAACATTTAGAAAGCTTTAACTAATTTTTTTGCGAAAAGAAAGAGAAAAGTAAGAAATGAAATCAAAACAGGAAAAAGAAAGGGAAAAAGAAAGAGAAAAACGACAGTGGCGACTCTCGTGAGATTTATCCCCAAACAGCTCTCTTTTCAGAAGATCGCAGTCTCTTCTTATATTACTCTTTGCTCAACAATTTCTCAAAAAACATGACGCATGTTTAACAATTGATTAATTTTATTAATCGATTTCCATAATGATTTTTTTTAACAATATTTCTTAAATTTACGAGAATTATTTCAAAATTTAACGCAAATAAAATTATTACAATAGGATTAATTACTTTTATCACTACGAAAACATTTCTCTGTTCCAAAAAACGAATGAAATTATAACATTTTTTACATTTCGTAAGATTTATATAAATTTTTGAAATATGAAAGAAGAGAGAGAGAGAGAGAGAGAGAGAGAGAGAGAGAGAGAGAGAGAGACTAGAGACAGTAGGAATTTGGAGAAAGGGAGAATAGAAAGAAAATAGTTACAGAAGAAAGGTGGGGGAAAGATAATAAAAAACTATTTGAGATGATAAAAAAGGTGCGAATTGTTTAAAAAGTAACATTAATTGATATGGTAAGTTGTTTTTTCTAAAGAAAAAGTTGCACTTTGGACTCATCTAATCATCTCTACTATTGATCATGGAAGAAGGGAATATTAATTCTTGACTATTTTTGATAAACCTTCATCACAAAAATAGTGTCATCATCAACCCTTTTATCAATAGGGAATGAGTAATCAATCATTCGACAAGCTGGACTGTGGTCACGATCAAAGTGACATTTTTTATGTTCATGTTCAAAAAATTTTATTGAATACTCATATGATGCTTAACAACACCTTAACGCCTTTAACGTTACTTTAAAAGATTGAAATCTCATGTGAACATTAACAGTTATACTCTTCGCGAAATTCAGTGGACAAAGTTAAACAATTTTCGAATCTATTGAAACGAAATGATAAACTTGGAATAATCAATCTCATCAAGTCGGATAAACTTAATTATAAACTTGCGGAAATTGTGTCTTTTTGTCAAGGAAATCGTCCAATCGTATAATATTCTTGAATTAACAAAATTGGGTGTTGTTTGAAGTGGAGAGACTGCTCTTCATGAGTTGGTTCCTGGTCCACTGAATTGAAAGTCTAACCATAGCCCATTCTTTCAGATAACCTACTACTCGTAGACTGATGATCCAACATGATCAACAATTTCTCGAAAAACATGTCGAACTTATAACAATCGATTAATTGTGTTATTGAATAACTGTATTAATCAATGATTTCGGTGATCTGGATTGTACCTCAAATGAGCAAATGAATGACCAAAATAGCAAAATAACAATCTCGATACAATTACATGATTCCAATTAAGAACTGACCTTAGATTTACGTTTAAGTTTATTATTGTATTGGTAATTTCACTAATTATCTTGAGACTAAATTCACATTGAAATTGACTCAATTTTGATCATTTGTCTATCATATCATCAATGAAATTAATAAAGTTTTGCGGACCGTAGTAAAAGGCAAAAAATATGCAAAAACAAGCAAAAAAGAGCTAAATGACAAAAACACTTTTTAAATTCAATTCTTTTTACTTATATTTAATTTTTACGATTTGCAGATGAACTCAGGTCAGTATATGGTTAAATTATCGATAAAAAATTAGATTTTTAGTTGAAATTGAATAAAAAAGTATTTATAATAAAATGTCTTGAAGCTCTTTCACTTCAATTCTACTTGACAGTGGAGAATTTCGGCCCTTTTTTGCTCTTTTTTACCTTTTTTTGCCTCTTTTCGTCTTTTCGTCTTTTAGCACGGTCCAAGTTTTGCTTCTGCTAAAGCAGCAGCTGAGAGTACGGAATTCATTGAATCATGGAAAGTGATTCTTACCAATCAAGTCTCTAATTTTATATTAATCACTTTTACTTTTCTTCAAACACTGGCCAATGTTGTCCTTGGACTATTAAGTCCAATGATTAGTAAATATTTTCCAAATCAAAACATCCTGATCGGTATAATCGGTGCGATTGCTTCTCTTTCAAGTGTATTCGGTTCGCTAATATTGGCCTGGGTAACCGATAAAACGAGAAAGTATAAATTGGTAACTTTGATTAGCCAGCGACAGTTTTAGTTTCGTATCTTTTACAATATTACAATTTGTATTATGCTTTTTCTCCGTTTCTATTCATTTTCGGTTTCTAAAAACTGAAAGAATTTATGAATGAATAAATGAAAGAAAATCGGATTGTTTTAGAATTTACGAGAATTTAATTGTCGGAGCAAAATTGGATTTCATGGTGAGAATATCTCGTAACAAATTCACTAACAATTTCGATATAAACTTGTTGATTTTGTCTGCGAACTGGAATATTTTTATTCTTAAAGATTAAGTCAACAAAGAAAAAGTAAAGGATCGACTTTCAATTCGAAAGATTCTCAAAGTGTTTCCATTATTTTCCTTTTGGATTCTTAAAATTGGTCAAAGTGTTTAACAAGTTAATTGTTTCCATCAATTGTTTACTTATAAGAATTAACATCATATTAACTTATCTATAAGCTAAAAGTTTCGAGTGTTTTTTTTATCCAGAAAAGAACTGATAAAAATGTTTAATTTTGTCAAGCTAACATTTGCAAAAGATAATTAATCATTTTGACCATTTAAATGAGTGGATCGAAATACTTGTTTGTAACAATTAAGTGGACTTGGAATTTGAATGTTGATTATTTATTGATACGGTTTCCATAAATACAGTTGATTTCTTGGATCATCTTTCTGGCTCATATTCACCAACCGAGATAAAAAGCTGAAATCAATTAATTCAAAGATCAATTGATTAAGAGATTAATCTTCATGGCAGAAGTAAGTATTCTTTTTGGCCTTTCCATTACTATCGTTTAACTAACCTTTTACTCAATTCAACCACTCGAATGCTCTTTATCCGAAACAGGTAACAAGTAGCCAATCAATCGCCAAGTTGGACTGTGGTCACGACCAAAGTGACGTTTTTTATATTCACAAATGTTTGAAGACGTTTTGTGATGAGTGCAGGCAAGAAAATCGTTTAAGTGTCTTGTGGAACATTGAACTCGTCGAAACTGATTATCTCAAAGCCATTGACAGGAAAAGATGTGAAGATGATTCCGTTTGTAACAATCAAGCAATTTGCCATTGTTCGTGTGGAAATAAAGATTTTTGTGATATTCATTTCGTCAGATTTCATAGTATAGTTTATCAACCAAAAAGATGCTCGCCTACGATCATCGATTCGAACTCAAACGCCGAACCATGTTCCAGGTGTGAGTATTTCATCGCTAAATTTATGGACCAGACAACTAATGAGTTTTTCTGTGGATCATGCAAAAATGATGATAATGATTTCGTGGAAATTGAACCAGACAACAACGATACCAACAACAGAAATATTACCGAAAATCTTAAAATTTATTGTGCTGATGTACAAAAGCGATTGGATCAGTTGAACACAAAACTAAATGAGTACACGATCGAAATAGAAAACGAAAAGGCCGAATTCAATAAAGGAATCGGTCACATGAGAAGTGAATTAAAGTGTTACTTGAGTGCTAACAAAGTCAAAATTGATTCTTTGCGAACGGAAGTGGACAAAGTTAAACAATTTTCGAAACAATTGAATCGCAGTGATAAATTTGGAATAATCAATCTCATCAAGTCGAATAAGCTCAACTATAAACTTGCTGACTTGAAATTGAAGTTGTGGGTTGCGGAAATCATTGAATCGTTCGTCATTCCTGTATTGACCAAATCGGGTGTAGATTGGACTAAAGAATCTGAAAGAGCTTTTCGTGAACTGGTTCCTGGTCCACGGAACTGGCGTCTCAATCATGGTCCATTCTTTCCTGATAGTTTACTCGAATTAACCTACGACTTAATTAAAGATATGAATTCGCACAAAGATAGCTGTTTAGATTCATCTTGTTACTGTCAACAAAACAGCCTCATGAAAAAATTTCACGGCCTCAAGACTAAAGGTAAACTTTCACAAAATAATCTAGATTATTTGCTCGACTGCTGGGCCACTGATGGCGGTGATGTAACTCTATTGATTGAAACTGGTAAACGAGCGCTTAATCAGTCTGATTTTCTCATCGCACGTGTTTGTTTTGAAGAAGTTCATCGAATCAGGCCGACCAATTGGATTGCTCTTGACACTTTAATTGGTCTTTACTTCATTTTCAATGATAACAGTAATTGTCTAAAACTTGCGATCAAAGGTTTGACTGCAGATTGTAATTACTTCAAAGCTCGTGTTTTAATATCAGAGATTTTGAAATCAACACCAACTTTAAAATCAGAAATACCTGTTGATCTTGATTATCTGATTCGGGGTAAATCCACAGATGATTTGACAAGAAAAACAAAAATTTTAGACGAACTCAACAAGACGAAACAACTTCGTGATGGACAAAAGAAGACTGAAACTCAACAAGAAAGGGTTCGAAAATCTCTGCAATTAGACCTCAATTCAGAAACACTTTCATCATTAAAATCCCTGATTTCAGCTCTAATAACTGTTAGTAGTGACATAGAAAAACAGCATGTCAATTATAGAACAGTGATAACATTGAAAATCTCTGGCATTCATCGTTCCAATGCTTCTGTGAGTAACGGGTCAAACTCTTCCAAAGAAAATCAAAACAATAAACGAAAGAGCCAAGGTCATGATTCATTAGCAAAACGAACATCAGTTGAAGATTCACAGCCAAAAGATCCAACAGCCGAAAATATGTACAAAAAGATATTCTCAATGTTCCCCGAAAATATTTTAGCTCGTGAAATAGCCCAAGAAGAGGAGCTAGAGGTACAAACACAAAACGAAGCTCAAGTGGAACATTTAATTTTAACCCGTTACCGCTCGAAACAAATACCATTCGCCTCAAAAGGAAAACAAATATATCGGCTCATCACTGATCTTCTCTATGAAATAGCAAACGAAGCCACTGCGATCAAATTACCTTCTAATTTCATGAAGCTGTATAGAATTTATCGAAAATGGAATAAGTTACCGACACCTTTAACGTGCTCTATTGAGAATATAAGTGTTAACAAAACAAAATTAATTTTAATTGCTAATGAAGTTCAGTTCGATAAATCCGAAGCAATATTTCTAACTGAATCGATTCCATATCTCCGAGATTTATTCGATACCAACGATTATGATAAATTTTTCATTCGTCTCATGATACTTCGAGGAGTGAAAGAATCCGAAGTTGATTATCTTCTAATGGCAAATGAAATGTTTACTAAATCTAAACTGAAATCAGTTCAAGCAGCAAATCAAACTGTCTATACCTCATTTTCACTTAGATCAATGATTAATAAGATGAATGGAAATAATTTGGACACATTATTAGATCAACATCGACACCAGGAAATTGTTGAACTATTAGCATCTAAATCTGAACTCTCTGAACAAGAAGAAGAGTATTTCTATCAAGCCATCCAATCATCACAACAATGGAAACGAGGGATCGAAATAATTGCTAAAAGTAAACAATTAACTGATCGATTGTTAAAACTATTACTATTTTATCTAAAGAATGGTGATGGATCATCTATTGATCGAGAATTAGCGATCAAATTGCTAAAATTAGGGACCGAAGATTACAATGCACTGGCCTGGACTTGTATTCTACAAACATTCATAAACGAGATGCGACTTGGTAATACGGGTGAAGAAAAAATTGCTAATTTGATTAGTTCAGTTCACGATTATCTAGGGAATAAAAAAGCTTGTTGTCATTCCAATGGAGAGTTTTTATCTCTTTCACTTGATTACTTGACCGATCAAGCAAATATCGAGAGAGAGAAATTAATCTTTAGCTGCCTTGGTTGTTATTACAAACACTTAGGATGTAGCTTTTTATCAGCTAAGCATGAATCCGGAGTTTCTCTACTTTGGAAGGACATGCATAATATTTACAATTACTTCATTCCAAAAACTTTACCAACTTTTACAAGTGAAATAAGTAAATCAATTAGTTCAAATACTGAAGAGTTGTTATGCAATTTGCTTCCCTTGGTCCCTGAAAATTTAAATCCTGAAAGATTTTCTAATTCTGTCAAAGAATATATCGATCATGGAAAATCAATTGAGCTTACAACAAGTATTCCAAAAAATCATGTTACTCAAGATCTTTACTATTATTTAGCTGATTATTACTTTAAAAACAAAGACTTTCAGTAAGTTAATTCATTTTAATAGCTTGCAAATATAAATGATTTCTAATTATATTATTTATCTAATTCATAGGAAAGCCATCAAATTTTATATTCTTGATCTAACTTTAAATCGGAGTCGATTTGATTCATGGGTTGGCTGTGCTCTTGCAATAACAAGTCAGATTGATCAATATTCTTCGACTGTAAGTTTTAAAACTACTTATTTTGTTAAAGTTCTAATCCCAAATTTCTATTCCCAAACAGAATGGTCGAGTTTTCTACTCATCTACTCATCAAGTGTTACTTCTGGGGAAAAAAGCATCTCGTTGTTTCATTAAAGCGGTTAAGCTGAAAAAAAGTGAATCCAAGTTATGGCTCGAATATGGAAAGCTCTCTTACAGTATAGCGAGTTATATTTCTCGAGTCATGAAATTTGGACCAGTTTTGGAGAATTCAAAAAAACAAGAAATGGCCGAGCAACATCAAACTTTTCTCGATCAAGCTAAAGTTTGCTTCGACCATGGTAGCAAGTTACCTGCTTCCAATGAAATTAATTATTATTATTATTTTTTAGGAAAAATCGCTGAAAGAAAAAACATCTTACAAGCACTTGAATATTACGAATTATCTTTGTCTCATCCTATTTCAAGTGAAGCGATTGCTGAAATTGATAATGTAAATTCTACTACTGAAATTCATTGTTTTGGCAGCGAAATTCACTATCGGATTTACGCTTGTGTCCTTAAGCATATTTTTAAACATAGAAATCTATCAGCGCAAATATTATCACAAATGTTAGGGTTTTTAACTCGTGCTGCAAAAAATACTTTCTTTGGTTCTTTACCAGAAGATGTCGAAGAGGTGATACGTGATTCGATTACATTGGAAAGTGAAGGACAATTATGGTATGAAAAAATTCAAGAATTGTGTCTGGCTCAAATGTATAGAAACATAGGCCGTTATCCTAACCGTGGCAAATCCCTCTATCGACTTGCGCATCATTATTTTCACACGAAAGAATATAATAATATTAAGTTCGCTCGAGAGATACTCAGCAATTCGTTTCAATCGACAACTCGTCCAGAAAGTTCTACTGCTTTCGGGACTGGGGAAAGTTCATCCATGCTCGTAAAGTTTTTGTCGATTGGAGATTGTTTCGTCCCAACTAAATGTAATTATTATATATTCCATGGAATCCAGAAGACATTGAATAATTTTATCGAAAGACCAGGAAGTTTTTGTGCTCTCATCCGTCGATTGACGGATTTATTGATTGATGTGAAACGATCAATAGTTTTAAATGATCCTGAACCTTCATTGAACATCGCAATATTTTTGGACTCATCAGTGTGCAGTAACAAAGAATATCTTCCTGAAACCGACCGAGAAAATCTTGGGAAAAAAGCATTGGAACATTGTTTTAGTATTTATGAGAGTAAAATTGTAGAGGCGACAGGGGATCGAAACAATTTAGAGAAAATTGCAGCTGAATTAAGGGGAATATGTAACGAATTGGTGAAATATCCTATCTATGAACAATCTACTAAACAATTCCTCGAAAAACATAGAAATTTGCTGAATGTATTACCATTTATTAATCACTAACTTTAATGAAGAATATCTCTCCTAACAAAGTTTCTTAAATTCACGAAAACTTTTCCGATTCTGAACGAAACTAAAATTGTTTTAATTGGAATATTTATGTTTTTTAACTACGAAAAATATTTTATGCAATTAAATGTATTCAAAAAGATCATCTAATTTGAATCATTTTGTTTTTCATTTCTAAAAGTTTTAATATAAATTTGATTACTGTTATTATTTATTCTTGTTGAATCGATTATTACATGTCCTTCAAGTATCAAACATTAATATAAATTGGTAACTTTGATTAGCTCCATTCTTATGGTTCCATTATTTGGGTTATTAATTTATTCCCTAGAAATGGGAATATAGGGAAATATCTTTTACAATACTACAATTTGTATTATGTTTTTCGTTTCTATTAATTTTCGGTTTCTAAAACTGAAAGCCTTTATGAATGAATGAATGAAAGAAAATCGGATTGTTTTAGAATTTACGAGAATTTAATTGTCGAAGCAAAATTTGATTTCATGGTGAGAATATCTCGTAACAAATTCTCTAACAATTTCGATATAAACTTGTTGATTTTATCTGAGAACTGACATATTTTCATTCTGAAAGATTAAGTCAACAAAGAAAAGTAAAGGATCGACTTTCAATTCGAAAGATTCTCAAAGTGTTTCCATTATTTTCCTTTTGGATTCTTAAAATTGGTCAAAGTGTTTAACAAGTTAATTGTTTCCACCCATTGTTTACTTATTTCAAAGGGATGTGATTAATTAGCAAGATCTATGGATATGGATAAATTAGAGTATCAATTACATGTTTAACTTTTAATTCTACAACTTAGGTAAGTAAAGAGTAGATTGTCTATTTGTTTGTTTTTATTCCAAATGTTTAAATAATTAATTAACTTCGTTCTCGATCATTTGTAATTCATTTGTCTTTTTTCAATAGTTTTCTAGCCTCACAACTGACGATTAACTAAATTGTTTAATTTAACTTTTCTTTTGATTTTCTCTTGGTGATTCTCAGGAGTAGAATTAATTTTCTGATTAATTAATTGGGATGGAATCAATGAGAAAATTAAAGCGACAAGGATTAAACATATGATTGATTAACAAGAAGAAAAAACAAATCAAAATCCATAACAATCTTTGTTGATTAGTAAAATTTACTCGAAATCGTTTATAATTAAAGTTCAATCAAGATTAATTATGAAATTCCATCAATTACTCCAAATAATTGGGGGTATTTTAACTAACCAATATCTCGAAATGGTCTTTAATTGTTTAGATTAAAATTGCAATGGAATAGAATTTAATTCAGATTGTTTATATCGAATCTTATTCGATACCAAGTTCGATAGTATCGAAGAATTTTTTTAAAAAGAAATTTAATCAAATCGTTCTTGTTGTTGTTCAGTTTACTTTCTTTCAGCGCTTTGATTGTGACAGTTAATTAATTCTTTTAATTGATGAAATTAATTAATTGTAATTTTTATCGATTATTAGGTAAGTAAAGAGTAGATTGTCTATTTGTTTGTTTTTTATTCCAAATGTTTAATATGTTTTCTCCTTTCTTTTGAATTGTTGTTACTCTTTTCCTGTTAACCAAATGGTGGTGATGATGACACATGAAAGGCTTAATTGTGAACTAATTGACCAATTAAAATGAATGACGAAAGTTCAACCAAACGAGCTGATTAACAAGTGTATAAACAATTAATGCCTCAGCAATTACAAGTTAATTTAGTTTTAATGTTGTCCAATTATTGCTAAAGTTTCGAAGTGATTTTTGGGGTTACAATTTTGGTAATTAATCTTCAGTGATTTAAAGCATTTTATACATAGCTAAAAAGGGATAATCTCTTATAAACAGTGAGCTAATCCCTTTAGCTAATGGGAGTTAAAGAAATCGCCTCTGATAATTGTTCTTCAATCTATTCAGTGTTTTCCATTCTACTTCTTGGATCATCTTTACCTTAAATTATGCCTGACGTAAGTATTGACTATTCATTTGTTGCCATTTTTAGTAGTTTCCATCAATTGTTTACTTATAAGAATTAACATCATATTAACTTATTTATAAGCTAAAAGTTTCGAGTGTTTTTTTTATCCAGAAAAGAACTGATAAAAATGTTTAATTTTGTCAAGCTAACATATGCAAAAGATAATTAATCATTTTGACCATTTAAACGAGTGGATCGAAATACTTGTTTGTAACAATTAAGCGAACGCGTAAAATAAATAGACCTTCGATTAGAAAGCCTTTGGTAGCTGCTTCGAGTTTTTCGTTTAATTGTAATCATCTCGTCTTTGAATTTGAATTTGACTGTTGATTATTTATTGATACGTTTTCCATAAATACAGTTGATTTCTGGGATCATCTTTCTGGCTCATATTCACCAACCGAGATAAAAGCTGAAATCGATTAATCCGTAAAAAAAATTGATTAGGAGATTAATCTTCATGGCAGAAGTAAGTATTTTTTTTGGCCTTTCCATTACTATCGTTTAACTAACCTTTTACTCAATTCAACCACTTGAATGCTCTTTATCCGAAACAGGTAACAAGAATCCAATCAATCGCCAAGTTGGACTGTGGTCACGATCAAAGTGACGTTTTTTATATTCATAAATGTTTGAAGACTTTTTGTGATGAGTGCAGGCAAGAAAATCGTTTAAGTGTCTTATGGAACATTGAACTCGTCAAAACTGATTATCTCAAAGCCATTGAAAGGAAAAGATGTGAAGGTAGTTCCATTTGCAACAATCGAGCAATTTGCCATTGTTCGTGTGGAAATAAAGATTTTTGTGATATTCATTTCGTCAGATTTCATAGTATAGTTTATCAACCAAGAAGATGTTTGCCCACGATTATCGATTCGGACTCAAACGACGAATCATGTTCCAGGTGTGACTATTTCATCGCTAAATTTATGGACCAGACAACTAATGAGTTTTTCTGTGAATATTGCAAAAATGATGATAACTCATCCAATTTCGTGGAAATTGCACCAGACAACAACGATACAAACAACAGAAATATTACCGAAAATCTTAAAATTTATTGTGCTGATGTACAAAAGCGATTGGATCTGTTGAACACAAAACTAAAGGAGTACACGATAGAAATAGAAAACGAAAAGGCCGAATTCAATAAAAGGATTGGTCGTATGCGAAGTGAATTAAAGTGTTACTTGAGTGCTAACAAGGTCAAAATTAATTCTTTGCGAGCGGAAGTGGACAAAGTTAAACAATTTTTGAGTCGTTTGAATCGCAGTGATAAATTTGGAATAATCAATCTCACCGAGTCGAATAAGCTCGACCATAAACTTGCAGACTCGAAATTAAAGTTATGGGTCGAAGAAATAGTGAAATCGTATGTTATTCCTGAATTGACCAAATCGGGTGTAGATTGGGCTAAAGAATCTGAAAAAGCTTTTCATGAGTTGGTTCCTGGTCCACGGAACTGGAATCTCAATCATGGTCCATTTTTCCTGATAGTTTACTCGAATTAACCTACGACTTAATCAAAGATATGAATTCGCACAAAGATAGCTGTTTAGATTCATCTTGTTACTGTCAACAAAACAGCCTCATGAAAAAATTTCACGGCCTCAAGACTAAAGGTAAACTTTCACAAAATAATCTAGATTATTTGCTCGACTGCTGGGCCACTGATGGCGGTGATGTAACTCTATTGATTGAAACTGGTAAACGAGCGCTTAATCAGTCTGATTTTCTCATCGCACGAGTTTGTTTTGAAGAAGCTCATCGAATCAGGCCGACCAACTGGATTGCTCTTGACACTTTAATGGGTCTTTACTTCATTTTAAATGATAAAAGTAATTGTCTAAAATTTGCGATCAAAGGTTTGACTGCAGATTGTAATTACTTCAAAGCTCGTGTTTTAATATCAGAGATTTTGAAATCATCACCAACTTCAAAATCAGAAATACCTGTTGATCTTGATTATCTGATTCGGAGTAAATCCACAGATGATTTGACAAGAAAAACAAAAATTTTAGACGAACTCAACAAGACGAAACAACTTCGTGATGGGCAAAAGAAGACTGAAACTCAACAAGAAAGGGTTCGAAAATCTCTGCAATTAGACCTCAATTCAGAAACACTTTCATCATTAAAATCCCTGATTTCAGCTCTAATAACTGTTAGTAGTGAAATGGAAAAACAAAGACTCAATTATAGAACAGTGATAACATTGAAAATCTCTGGCACTCCTCGTTCCAATGCTTCTGTAAGTAACGGGTCGAACTCTTCCAAAGAAAAGCAGAACAATAAACGAAAGAGCCAAGGTGATGATCCATCAGCAAAACGAAGACCAGTTCAAGATTCACAGCCAAAAGATCCAACAGACGAAAATATGTACAAAAAGATATTCTCAATGTTCCCTGAAAGTATTTTAACCCCTGAAATATTAGTAGATAATATAATAGTACAAGAAGATGAGTTAGAAGCACAAACACAAAACGAAGCTCAAGTGGAACATTTAATTTTAACTCGTTACCGCTCGAAACAAGTGTCATTCGCCTCAAAAGGAAAACAAATATATCGGCTCATCACTGATCTTCTTTATGAAATAGCAAACGAAGCCACTGCGATCAAATTACCTTCTAATTTCATGAAGCTGTATAGAATTTATCGAAAATGGAATAAGTTACCGACACCTTTAACGTGCTCTGTTGAGAATATTAGTGTTAAAAAAACAAAATTAATTTTAATTGCTAATGAAGTTCAGTTCGATAAATCCGAAGCAATATTTCTAACTGAATCGATTCCATATCTCCGAGATTTATTCGATACCAACGATTATGATAAATTTTTCATTCGTCTCATGATACTTCGAGGAGTCAAAGAATCCAAAGTTGATTATCTTCTAATGGCAAATGAAATGTTTACTAAATCTAAACTGAAATCAGTTCAAGCAGCAAATCAAACTGTTTACACTTCTTCTAGTCTTAGATCGATGATAAACAAGATGAATGAAAATAATTTGGACACGTTATTGGACCAACATCGACATGAGGAAATTTTTGAACTACTAGCATCTAAATCTGTGCACTCTACACGAGAAGAAGTGTACTTTTGTCAAGCCATTCAGTCATCAAAACAATGGAAACATGGAATCGAAATTATTGCTAAAAGTGAATATTTAACTGTTCGATTGTTAAAACTATTACTATATAATCTAAAGAAGATTGATAGAACATCTATTGATCGAGAATTAGCGATCAAACTGCTAAAATTGGGGACCGAAGATCACAATGCACTGGCCTGGACTTGTATTCTACAAGCATTCATAAACGAGATGCAACTTGGTAACATGGACGAAAGAAAAATTGTCGATTTGATTACTTCAGTTCACGATTATCTAGAGAATAAAAAAGATTATTGTTATTCCAATGTACAGTTTTTATCTCTTTCACTTAATTACTTTAACAATCAAGCAAATATCGAGAGAGAGAAATTAATTTTTAGCTGTCATCGATTTCTGCAAAGAATACAACGATCATGAAAAGTCAATTGAGACTAAACCAAGTATTCCAAAAAATCACGTTACTCAAGGATCTTATTATTCATTCTTGTTGAATCAACTATTACATGTCCTTGTATGTAATGCTTCTAATTGCTTTGATTACTGTTCTTTTCATCAAAGATCAACTTAATCGAGATAAATCAAATTCAGAAATAACATAATTAATGGAACAATTATACAATGTATTTGAATGAATAATTGTAAACTATAAATAAAGATAAAATTTATAAGATTTTGTTTCAGTGTGATTTCTTCAATTACTTACAATTTCGATATAAACTTGTTGATTTTGTCTGCGAATCAGAAGTTTTATTACCCACATGCATCGATCGACTCAGTTATTGATCAATGCAGTTATTCCAGTAGCGATAACAATTCTTAAAGCCAATTACATGTAAATGGACGAATTCGTAACAAATGGAACATCCTGAAAAAATACGCTTAACAATTTCTCCAAAAACATGGCAATTGTGTCGAATGTGTAACAATTAATTAATCACTATTTTCACGATATGAATCTCTCGTAATCAAGTTTCTTTTTCAGTTCTCATGATTTTCAACGATACTAAAATTGTTTCAATTTCCATGCTTCGTTTGTGCACAAACAAAGAAATCATGATTGCAAGATTGTTGTGTATTCTTTTGAATTTCCCGCTCTTTTGAAAAATGAACAGGTTTGGCTAATTGTAATTAATTACTAGTTATCAATAGTTAATAAATTAACATTATATTAACTTGTTTGTAAGCTCAAAGTTTTGAGTGTTTTTTTATCGTGAAAAGAACTGATAAAAATGTTTAATTTTGTCAAGCTAACATTTGCAAAAGATAATTAGTCATTTTGACCATTTAAACGAGTGGATCGAAATACTTGTTTGTAACAATTAAGCGAACGCGTAAAATAAATAGACCTTCGATTAGAACGCCTTTGGTAGCTGCTTCGAGTTTTTTCGTTTTAATTGTAATCATCTCGTCTTTAAATTTGAATTTGAATTTGAATGTTGATTATTTATTGATACGTTTTCCATAAATACAGTTGATTTCTTGGATCATCTTTCTGGCTCATATTCACCAACCGAGATTAAAAGCGGAAATATATTAGTTTTAAGATCAATTGATTAGGAGATTAATCTTCATGGCAGAAGTAAGTATTTTTTTTTGGCCTTTCCATTACTATCGTTTAACTAACCTTTTACTCAATTCAACAATTAAATCTCTTTATCCGAACCAGGTAACAAGTAATCGATCGATCGCCAAGTTGGACTGTGGTCACGACCAAAGTGACGTTTTTTATATTCACAAATGTTTGAAGACTTTTTGTGATGAGTGCAGGCAAGAAAATCGTTTAAGTGTCTTATGGAACATTGAACTCGTCAAAACTGATTATCTCAAAGCCATTGACAGGAAAAGATGTGTAGGTACTTCTATTTGCAACAATCAAGCCATTTACCGTTGTTCGTGTGGAAATAAAGATTTTTGTTGGATTCATTTACACGAATATCATGTTTTAGTTTTGCCACAAAAAAGGTGCTTGCCTACGATGCTCGATTCGGACACAAATGCCGAACCATGTTCCAAGTGTGAGCATTTCATCGCTAAATTTATGGACCAGACAACTAATGAGCTTTTCTGTGAATCATGCAAAAATGATAATAATTCATCTAATTTCGTGGAAATTGACCTAGATAACAACAGAAATATTACCGAAAATCTTAAAATTTATTGTGCTGATGTACAAAAGCGATTGGATCTGTTGAACACAAAACTAAATGAGTACACGATCGAAATAGAAAACGAAAAGGCCGAATTCAATAAAGGAATCGGTCACATGAGAAGTGAATTAAAGTGTTACTTGAGTGCTAACAAGGTCAAAATAGATTCTTTGCGAGCGGAAGTGGACAAAGTTAAACAATTTTTGAGTCGTTTGAATCGCAATGATAAATTTGGAATAATCAATCTCACCAAGTCGAATAAGCTCGACCATAAACTTGCAGACTCGAAATTAAAGTTATGGGTCGAAGAAATAGTGAAATCGTATGTTATTCCTGAATTGACCAAATCGGGTGTAGATTGGGCTAAAGAATCTGAAAGAGCTTTTCGTGAGCTGGTTCCTGGTCCACGGAACTGGAATCTCAATCATGGTCCATTCTTTCCTGATAGTTTACTCGAATTAACCTACGACTTAATCAAAGATATGAATTCGCACAAAGATAGCTGTTTAGATTCATCTTGTTACTGTCAACAAAACAGCCTCATGAAAAAATTTCACGGCCTCAAGACTAAAGGTAAACTTTCGCAAAATAATCTAGATTATTTGCTTGACTGCTGGGCCACTGATGGCGGTGATGTAACTCTATTGATTGAAACTGGTAAACGAGCTCTTAATCAGTCTGATTTTCTCATCGCACGTGTTTGTTTTGAAGAAGCTCATCGAATCAGTCCGACCAATTGGATTGCTCTTGACACCTTAATAGATCTTTATTTCGTACTCGATGATTACCGTAATTGTCTTAAACTCGCAATCAAAGGATTAACGAAAGACAGCCATTACTTCAAAGCTCGTGTTTTAATATCAGAGATTTTGAAATCAACACCAACCTTGAAACCAGAAATACCGGTTGGTCTGGATTATCTACTCGATTGTAGTTCCGCAAGTGTTATGGCAAGAAAAACAAAAACTTTAAACGAACTCAAGAAGACGAAACAACTTCGTGATGGACAAAAGAAGACTGAATCGCAGCAAGAAAATGTTCGAAAATCTCTGCAATTAGATCTCAATTCAGAAACACTTGCGTCGTTACAATCCCTTATTTCAGCTCTAATAATTGTTAATAGTGAAATGGAAAAACAAAGACTCAATTATAGAACAGTAATAACATTGAAAATCTCTGGCGATTCTCGTTCCAATGCTTCTGTAAGTAACGGGTCGAACTCTTCCAAAGAAAATCAAAATCATAAAAGAAAGAGCCAAGGTGATGATCCATCAGCAAAACGAAGACCAGTTCAAGATTCACAGCCACAAGATCCAACAGCCGAAAATATGTACAAAAAGATATTCTTAATGTTCCCTGAAAATATTTTAGCTCGTGACGTAGCCCAAGAAGATGAGCTAGAGGTACAAACGCAAAACGAAGCTCAAGTGGAACATTTAATTTTAACTCGTTACCGCTCGAAACAAATGCCATTCGATTCTAAAGGAAAACAAATATATCGGCTCATCACTGATCTTCTTTATGAAATAGCAAACGAAGCCACTGCGATCAAATTACCTTCTAATTTCATGGATCTGTATAGAATTTATCGAAAATGGAATAAGTTACCGACACCTTTAACGTGCTCTATTGAGAATATAAGTGTTAACAAGACAAAACTAATTTTAAAAGCTAATGAAGTTCAATTCAATCAATCTGAAGCAATATTTCTAACTGAATCAATTCCATATCTACGAATTTTATTCAACACCAACGATTATGATAATTTTTTCATTCGTCTCTTGACTCTTCGAGGAATCAAAGAATCCAAAGTTGATTATCTTCTAAAGGCGAATCAAGTTTTCGAAAAGTCTAACCTCAAATCAGTGCAAGCGGCAAATCAAACTGTCTATACCTCATTTTCACTTAGATCAATGATTAACAAAATGAATGAGAATAATTTGGACACTTTACTGTACCAACATAAACTCGAGGAAACTGTTGAACTATTAGCATCTAAATCTAAACTCTCTGAACAAGAAGAAGAGTATCTTTGTCAAGCTATTCAATCATCAAAGCGATGGAAACGAGGGATCGAAATGATTGCTCGAACTGAACAATTAACTGATCGACTGCTAAAGCTACTACTATCCTGTCTAAAGAATAGTGATGGAACATCTATTGATCGTCAATTAGCGATCAAGTTGTTAAAGTTGGGAACAAGAGACTACAATGTAATGGCCTGGATTTGTATTCTACAAACATTTATAATCGAGATGCGACTTGGTAACATGGACGGAAAAAAAATTGCCGATTTTATTAACTTGGTTCATAATTATCTAGGGAATAAAGAAGCCTGTTGTGATTCCAATGGAGAGTTTTTATCTCTGGCACTTGATTATCTAATTTGTCAATATAGCAGAAACAAAGAGGAACTAATTCTTAGCTGCCTTGGTTGTTTTTACAAACAATTAAAATGTAGCTTCTTGTCAGCTCATCAAGGAGCAGGGGTTAGTCTACATTGGAAGGACATTCGTACTATTTACAATCACTACATTCCAAAAACTTTACCAACTTTTTATAGTGAAACAAGTAAATCAATTAGTTCAAATGTTGAGGAATTGTTACGCAATTTGCTTCCCTTGGTCCCTGACAATCTAAAACCTGAAAGATTTTCTAATTCTGTCAAAGAATTTATCGATCATGAAAAATCGATGGAGCCTATAACAAGTATTCCAAAAAATCATGTTACTCAAGATCTTTACTATTATTTAGCTGATTATTACTTAAAACACGAAGACTTTCAGTAAGTTAATTCATTTTAATAGCTCGCAAATTTAAATGATTTCTAATTACATTATTTATCTAATTCATAGGAAAGCCATCAAATTTTATATTCTTGATTTAACTTTAAATCGAAAGCGATTTGATTCTTGGGTTGGTTGTGCTCTTGCAATAACAAGTCAAATTGATCAATATTCTTCGACTGTAAGTTTTAAAACTACTTATTTTGTTAAAGCTCTAATCTCATATTTATATTCACAAACAGTATGGTCGAGTTTTCTACTCATCTACTGATGAAGTTTTGCTCTTGGGAGAAAAAGTGTTACGTTGTTTCTACGAAGCGGTTAAGCTGAAAAAGAGCGAATCCAAGGTATGGTTCGAATATGGAAAGTTCGCTTATTATATTTCGAGTTATATTTCTCGAGTCATTAAATTTGGACCAGTCTTGGAGAATTCACAAAAAGAAGAAATGAAAAAACAACGGAAGCGATTTCTAGATATAGCTCGAGATTGCTTCGAACGTGGCACTAACAAAAACTTACCTGCTTCCGATGAAATCTATTTTAATTATTATTTTCTAGGAAAAATCGCTGAAAGAAGTAACATCTTACAGGCACTTCGCTTTTACAAATCATCTATGTCTCATCCTATTTCAAGTGAAGCGACTACTGGAATTGATAATGTCAATTCCATCATTTTAATTCATCGTTTTGGGATCGAAATTAACTATCGGATTCACGCTTGTGTCCTTAAGTATATCCTTAAACATGAAAATCTATCAACGCAAATATTATCACAAATTCTGGTGTTTTTAACTGGTGCTGAAGAAAGCACTTTCTTTGGTTCTTTACCAGAAAGTGAAATAACCGCTGAAGATGCCGAGAATGTGGTGCCGGAAAGTGAAGTAGAACTGTATGAAAGGATTCGAAAAATGTGTGTGGGTCAAATGTTCAGAATCTTACGAAGTTATCCTGACCATTGCAAATCCCTTTATCGAATTGCGCATCATTTTCTTAAAGATCCTCTATTCGCTCTAGAGATACTCACCAAATCATTTCAATCGACAACTCGTCCAGAAAGTTCCACTGCTTCTGGAACTGAGGGAAATGCATCAACAAATTTTTCATCGATTAGAGATTTTTCGACCCGACTAAATGTGATTATTATTTATTCCATGGAATCCAGAAGACATCTAACAATTTTATCGAAAGACCAGGAAGTTTCTGTACTCACATCCGTCGATCGACAGATTTATTGATTGATGTGATTCGAGCAATAAAGTTACGTGATTTTATAACTTTAGGTGATGCTGAACAATTATTGAGAATCGCAATATTTTTGGACTCATCAGTGTGCAGTAACAAAGAATATCTTCCTGAAACCGACCGGGAAAGTCTTGGGAAAAAAGCATTGGAACATTTTTTTAGTATTTACGAGAGTAAAATTGTAGAGGCGACAGGAATCGAAACAATTTAGAGAATTGCAGCTGAATTAAGGGAATATGTAACAAATTGATGGAATATCCTTTCTACAAACATTCTGCTAAACAATTCCTCGAAAAACATGGCAATCTGTTGAATGTATAACAATTTATTAATCACTAACTTTAATGACGAATATCTTTCTAACAAAGTTTCTTAAATTCGCGAAAATCTTTTCCAATTCTGAACGAAAATAAAATGTTACAATTTATACGATACTACTAATCCTTTTTTCATTTATACTCGTTTATAACAATTAAGTGAACAAATCAACCTTCAATTAGAGGGCTGCTTCAAGTTTATAGGTTTTTAATTGTAATTAATCTTTTGAATGTTAATTTTGGGCATTTATTGTGACACTTTCTCTAAATACAGTTGATTCCTTGTATCTTCATGGAAACTTTACTTTTTGATCTTACTATTGTTATCCTTGACACTCAATTCAAGCATTTGAGCCTCTTTATCTACGAGGAATAAGTAATCAATCAACCAACAAGCTGGACTTTGGTCACAAATTTTCGAGGACTTTGTGAAAAGTGTAAACAAGAAAATCACTCGTGTGTAAAAAAGTTTGTTTTGCATTTCAATGTCGGTAATTGATCTTTGGCACTTTCATAATTTTTTGCCACATTTAAAATATTAATTAGCAACAACGACAATACGAACAATAAACTTACAGACTTGAAATTGAAGTTGTGGGTTAAGGAAATCGTTCAATCGTTCGTTATTCCTGAATTAACCAAATCGGGTATAATTTGGATTAAAGAATCTGAAAGAGCTTTTCGTAAGTTGGTTTCTGGTCCACGGAATTGGAAGTAACTGAAAGAAATAATTTGAATCAATTTGTTTTCGTTTGCTAAAAATTTTAATATTCTTGTTTAATCAATTACATGTTCTTCAAGTATTAACAAACATTAAACGTAAAAGAAGTAGAAAAATTAGAATTTAAATTTTAATTGATCATAAAGTTTGTCTCTAAAATGATCGATCAACCTCACAATTAAGATTATTTGATGTTGACGTTCATCTGTTATCGCCATGATTGGAATTAACTGTTACACTTGAAGTACAATTTAGAGCAAAAGCAATAAGAATATATCTCAATTCGTTAGCAGGTTAATTATAAATTGAATTTAGTCTGAACTTCAAGTAGACTGATATTTTATTAAGAATTTGTTCCGATGAAAATGATTACTGGTTCTTTTTTAATTTTTGGATTAATTCAAATGGAAAACGCTCTGATAATTGATTGTGGCGATTTGATTTGATTAATGGTTATCACAGAAAAAGAAAGGGATCACTTTTTTCCAGTAAAATCGATGATGATTTCATTTCGTTTTGGATTAAATTTACGTTGAATTATATTAACCATATCTAACATCCTTTTCGATGCTTTGTTTTGAGTTTTTTCAGGGCTTTTAATATTGCAATAAATCACTTCACGAATTCCTGATTGGATAATTAATTTGGCACATTCGTTGCATGGAAATAGAGTAGTGTAGAGACTACAGTTCTTGACATCGGCTGAATTACGATTGGCGATCGCATTCATCTCAGCGTGACAAACGTAAAGATGCTTATTGTCTAAAGGTGTGTCTCCATTTTTGGTCCAAGGCATGAGATCGTCATTACATCCGGTCGGCATTCCATTGTAACCGATTCCAACTATTTTCTTTTCTGTGTTCACAATACAAGTTCCAACCTGAGTGACGGGATCTTTACTCCTTAATGAGGCCAAATGAGCGGTGGCCATAAAATACTCATCCCAGTCTAGATAATCAGCTCGTTTGGTTGAACTTTCGTCATTCATTTTAATTGGTCAATTAGTTCACAATTAAGCCTTTCATGTGTCATCATCACCACCATTTGGTTAACAGAAAAAAACAAAAAGAGTAACAACAATTCAAAAAGAAAGCAGAAAACATATTAAACATTTGGAATAAAAAACAAACAAATAGACAATCTACTTTTTACTTACCTAATAATCGATAAAAATTACAATTAATTAATTTCATCAATTAAAAGAATTAATTAACTGTCACAATCAAAGCGCTGAAAGAAAGTAAACTGAACAACAACAAGAACGATTTGATTAAATTTCTTTTTAAAAAAATTCTTCGATACTATCGAACTTGGTATCGAATAAAATTCGATGTCAACAATCTGAATTAAATTCTATTCCATTGCAATTTTAATCGAAACAATTAAAGATCATTTCGAGATATTGGTTAATTAAAATACCCCCAATTATCTGGAGTAATTGATGGAATTTCATAATTAATCTTGATTGAACTTTAATTATAAAGGATTTCGAGTAAATTTTACTAATCAACAAAGATTGTTATGGATTTTGATTTGTTTTTTTTTTCTTCTTGTTAATCAATCATATGTTTAATCCTTGTCGCTTTTAATTTTCTCATTGATTCCATCCCAAGCAATTAATCAGAAAATTAATTCTACTCCTTGAGAATCACCAAGAGAAAATCAAAAAGAAAAGTTAAATTAAACAATTTAGTTAATCGTCAGTTGTGAGGCTAGAAAACTATTGAAAAAAAAGACAAATGAATTACAAATGATCGGGAGAACGAAGTTAATTAATTATTTAAACTAATTAATAATAAATGTATTTAGTGAAAGTTAATTGTGATCTAATGCCAATTATAAATATATCAGGTTTTTCTTTGGTTTCAATTTGAAACTCAAAGAGAAACAATTAACAAATTAACATGGAAATTGAATCTTTCATTAGATTTAACAATGTCTTTCTTAATCAACCTAATTAACTAAATTTCTTTTTTTTCAATTGATTATTTAAACAATTAACTGTTGTCTACAAGAACGATTTGATAATCAAATTTTGATTGAATTTCTTTCGAAAAAACTTGTCCAATACTATCGAACTTGGTATCGAATAAGATTCTATATCGATATCTGAATTTGAACTGAAGTCACAATTAAACTTAATTTTTTTGTACAGTCGATTTTAATTTTAACCGAAACAATTAGAGAAATGAATCATCACATGAATTTAATTAACATTAACAAGAATTTTGAACTGAATAATTGTTCACAAATTGCATTACTTTTGAGTTGATCAAATTAAGTAGAAAGGATAATCATTGGGATACACATCGGGCAAAAAGCATTGGAACATTTTTTAGAATTTACGAGAGTTTAATTGTCGGAGCAAAATTTGATTTCATGGTGAGAATATCTCGTAACAAATTCTCTAACAATTTTGATATACTTGTTGATTTTGTCTGCGAACTGGAATATTTTTGTTCTTAAAGATTAAGTCAACAAAGAAAAAGTAAAGGATCGACTTTCAATTCGAAAGATTCTCAAAGTGTTTCCATTATTTTCCTTTTGGATTCTTAAAATTGGTCAAAGTGTTTAACAAGTTAATTGTTTCCACCCATTGTTTACTTATTTCAAAGGGATGTGATTAATTAGCAAGATCTATGGATATGGATAAATTAGAGTATCAATTGCATGTTTAATTTTTAATTCTACAACTTTAACAAGTGTATAAACAATTAATGCCTCAGCAATTACAAGTTAATTCAGTTTTAGTGTTGTCCAATTATTGCTAAAGTTTCGAAGTGATTTTTGGGGTTACAATTTTGGTAATTAATCTTCAGTGATTTAAAGCATTTTATACATAACTAAAAAGGGATAATCTCTTATAAAAAGTGAGCTAATCCCTTTAGCTAATGGGAGTTAAAGAAATCGCCTCTGATAATTGTTCTTCAATCTATTCAGTGTTTTCCATTCTACTTCTTGGATCATCTTTACCTTAAATTATGCCTGACGTAAGTATTGACTCTTCATTTGTTGCCATTTTTAGTATCCTTTGGTCAATTGATGAATTCTTAACTCAATTAATGTTCAAAATTCAACTTTGTCAACTGTTGTCGTGATTAAACGATTGACCGGAAGATATTTTATTTACTTATCAATTTATTATAATCTTTATCCACACCAGGTTACAAGTAATCAATCAATCGCAAAGTTGGACTGTGGTCACGATCAAAGTGACGTTTTTTATGTTCACAAATGTTTAAAGACATTTTGCCATCATTGTAAACAAGAAAATCGCTCGTGTGTCTTGTGTAAATCTGAACTCGTCGAAACTGATTATCTCAAAGCCGTTGACAGGAAGAGATGTGATGATCCCGTTTGCAACCGTCAAGCCATTTACCGTTGTTCGTGCGGAGATAATGATTTTTGTGAAATTCATTTACTTAGTTTTCATCGAACAATTTTACCATCAAAAAGATGTTGTGCTGTGATTCTCAATTCGGACACTGATGAACAACCATGTTCCAAATGTAGGAAATGTATCGCTCGATTTGTAGACAAGACAACTAATGAGTTATTCTGTGGTGCGTGCAAAAAGAACAAAAAATCCAAAAATATCGTGCCAATTGATAAAAACAACAACGACGATCCCAATGCCAACAGAAATATTGCTCACAATCTTCAAATTTATTGTGCTGATGTACAAAAGCGATTGGATCTATTGAACAGAAAACTAAAAGAGTATACGATCGAGATAGAAAACGAAAAGGCCGAATTTAATAAAGGGCTCGGTCACATGAGAAGTAAATTAGAAAGTTACTTAAGTGCTAACACTGTCAAAATTGATTCTTTACGAGCGGAAGTGGACAAAGTTCAACAATTTTTTAATTTATTGAGTCGCAGTGATAAATTTGGAATAATGAATCTCATCAAGTCGGATAAGCTCAACTATAAACTCGCGGACTCGAAATTGAAGTTGTGGGTTAAGGAAATCGTTCAATCGTATGTTATTCCTGAATTAACCAAATCGGGTGTAAATTGGGCTAAAGAATCTGAAGAGGCTTTTCGTGAATTGGTATCTGGTCCAAGGAACTGGGAGCTTAATCATGGTCCATTCTTTCCTGATAATTTAATTGAATTAACCTACGGCTTAATCAAAGAACAGCTTTTGCATAGAAATATCTGTAAACTTGAGTCTTGTTACTGTAAAGCGCACAGTCTCATCAACAATATTAAAAAGAAATTGGTCAATCTTCAAAACGAGCAAAAACTTTCCAAAAAATATCTGAATTATTTTCTCGACGCCTCTTCCCTTGGTAGTGATGTTACTTTATGGCTTGAAACTGGTAAACGAGCTCTTGATCAGTTTTCTTCTTTATCAATTGCCCGAACATGTTTTGAAGAAGCTCATAGAATTAGTCCAACCAATTGGATTGTTCTGGACACCTTAATGGGCATTTATTTCGTGCTAGATGATTATAGTAATTGCCTCAAGCTCGCAATAAAAGGCTTAACAAAAGACTCCGATTACTTTAAAGCTCGTGTTTTAATATCAGAGATCTTAGATCGTTCACCATCTATAGAATCCGAATTACCTGCCAATCTGAAATATCTAGAGAGTTGGACTCCTGAGAAAGATTTGGAAAGAAAGAGGAAAATTTTGGACAAACTCGAGAGTTTAAAACAACTCTCTGGACGAAGAAAGGAAAGTGACGAAAAACAAGCAAATGTTTCAAAATCTTTGGAGTTAAACCTCAATTCAGAAACACTTTCGTCGTTAAAATCCCTTATTTCAGCTTTAATGAACGTCCATAGTGAAATGGTGAAACAAACACTCAATTTAAATTCGTTAATAACGTTGAAAATCACTGGCAATCCTCGTTCCAATGCGCCTATGAGTAACTTGCCATTCTCTTCTAAAGAAAAGCATAACAATAAACGAAAGAGCCAAGGATTGAGTCCTAATCAAACAAAAAGAAGGTCGACACGAAATGCACCGCCAACAGACGCAACAATAGACAATCTGTACGAAAAGATATTCTCAATGTTCCCTGAAAGTATTTTAACTCCTAGAGAAGTTCAAGAAAACGAGTTACAGGTACAAACACAAAACGAAGCTCAAGTGGAACATTTAATTTTAACCCGTTTCCACTCGAAACAAATACCAGAAGTGTCAGAAGGAACAAAAATCTATCATCTCATCACTGATCTTTTCTGTGAAATAGCAAACGGCTCTACTGCAATCAAATTACCTTCTAATTTCATGGAGCTTTACAGAATTTATCGAACATGGTATCCGTTACCGACACCTTTAACGTGCTCTGTTGAAGATATTGATGTTGAATTGATCTTGATTGCTAATGAAGTTCAGTTCGATAAATCCGAAGCAATATTTCTAACTGAATCGATTCCATATTTCCGAGATTTATTCGATACCAACGATTATGATAAATTTTTCATTCGTCTTTTGACTCTACGAGGAATCAAAGAATCCAAAGTTGATTATCTTCTAATGGCAAATGAAATGTTTACCAAATCTAAACTGAAATCAGTTCAAGCAGCAAATCAAACTGTTTACACCTCATTTTCTGTTAGATCAATGATAAACAAGATGAACGAAAATAATTTGGACACATTATTAGATCAACATCGACACGAGGAAATTGTTGAACTATTGGCATCTAAATCTGAACTCTCTGAACAAGAAGAAGAGTATCTCTATCAAGCCATCCAATCATCACAACAATGGAAACGAGGGATCGAAATTATTGCTAAAAGTAAACAATTAACTGATCGATTGCTAAACCGATTACTATATTATCTAAAGAATGGTGATGGATCATCTATTGATCGAGAATTAGCAATCAAATTGCTAAAATTAGGGACCGAAGATTACAATGCAATGGCCTGGACTTGTATTCTACAAACATTCATAAACGAGATGCGACTTGGTAATACGGGTGAAGAAAAGTTGTTGATTTGATCAACTCGGTCCATGAATATCTTGGGAATAAAGAAGCTTGTTGTGATTCCAATGGAGAGTTTTTATCTCTATCACTCGACTACTTGATCCATCAATCAAATTACAAGAGAGAGAAATTAATCCAAAACTGTCTTGGTTGTTTTTACAAACAATTAGAATGTAGCTTCCTGTCAGCTCATCAAGGAGCGGGGGTTAGTCTACGTTGGGAAAACATTGGCCTGATTTACAGTCATTATACTCCAAGAAAAATACCCAATTTTGACAGTGAAAGAGGTGATTCGATCGATTCAAATACTGAGAAGTTTTTTCGATCTGTTCTAACAATGATTCCCGATAATTTGAACCCCGAAAATTATGTTCATTTGTTGAATGAATTCATTGATCATGGAAAACAAATTGAGCCTTCAACAAATATTCCCAAACATCATATTACTCAAGATATTTACTATTACTTAGCTGATTATTACTTCAAAAACAATGATCTCAAGTAAGTAAATTCATTTAAATTTATTTATCTGTAAATCAATTAACCATTTGCAAGTTTAATATGATCTCTAATGTTATCTATCTAATCAATAGTAAAGCCATAGAATTTTACATTCGTGATTTAACCTTAAATCGCGATCGATTTAATTCATGGGTTGGCTGTGCTCTCGTACTAATAAAGTTCAGTGATGAATATTTTTGCTCTGTAAGTAATCAAATTAAAGTTTAGTTTCGTAAATATTTTACATGTCAAATTTTTCATCCATTAAAAATGTCCGATTTTCTATTCATTATAATCAATCTCGAATTTCTTTCAAACAGAATGGTCGAGTTTTCTACTCATCTACTGATGAAGTTTTGCTCTTGGGAGAAAAAGTGTTACGATGTTTCAATGAAGCGGTTCGGCTGAAAAAGAGCGAATCCAAGGTATGGTTCGAATATGGAAAGTTCGCTTATTATATTTCGAGTTATATTTCTCGAGTCATGAAATTTGGACCTGCTTTGGAGAATTCACAAAAAGAAGAAATGAAAAAACAACGAAAGCGATTCTTGGATCGAGCTCGAGATTGCTTTGAATCGGCCATTAATTCTGGCGATTGTGATACAATTTGGATGAATTATTATTTCTTAGGAAAAATCGCTGAAAGAAGTAACATCTTACAAGCACTTCGATATTATGAATTATTTAAGTTTCATATGACCTCAATTGAACATTCTCGCAGTCGTTTTGGAATTGAAATTCACTATCGGATTCACGCTTGTGTCCTCAAGTATATTTATAGACATAAAACTCTGCCAGCAAGAGTATTATCACAAATGCTGGTGTTTTTATCTCGTGCGAAAAAGGGCAAAACCTTTGGTGGGTTTGTGCCCAGCGACGAACTAGAGATCGAAAATGAGGTCATTGAAGGCGCCGAAGAGGTTAAACCCGATTTGGTTTCGATGGAAATTAAAAGTAGACAATTATTTATGGAAATTGTACAAATGTGTCTGGAGGCGATGCATAGAAACTTACAATGTACTCAAAGTTGCAGTCATTACAAGTCACTCTATCGAATGGCTTATCATTATTTTCTATCTAACGATCCTCGATTCGCTCGAAAGATACTCACCGAGTCATTTGAACTGCCAGCTCGTTTCCCAAGCTCCATACTAGATGAAGAAAGTTCAACTGATACAGTAAATTTTTTTACAATTTCAGGACTTTTCCCTTTAATAAATATTATTCTACATTCCATGGAATCGTGAAGATATCAAACAATATTATTGAGAGGTCAGGAAGTTTCTATACGCACATGGTTCGATCAACTCAGTTATTGATTAACGTCAACAACAATTTGGGTGATGCTGAACAATTATTGCGAATCGCAATACTTTTGAGCTCAGAATTGAGTTGCGAAGGATATTTTCGTGATACCGACCGGGAAAATCTTGGGAAAAAAGCATTGGAACATTGTCTCAGTATTTACGAGAGTCGAATTGTAGAGGCGAAAGGAAACCATAACAATTTAAAATCGATTGGATACGATTTAAGGGAAATACGGCACAAATTAATGGGACATCCGATCTATGAACAATATGCTAAAAAATTTCTCGATCTACAGACCTGGAGTGATAATTTTAGCCTGCTTAGAACGTTAACTATACGAGTTGATAGACTTTCTGCTCAGATTTAAATTTTCCATCTAAAAAATAATTGTTTCGGCATGATTAGTATTGAAGAAATCAATGATCTAATTTGGCTCAAATCTCATCTTTCCATCCCTGTACATGGCAATTATTAATATGCGAACTTTTAAAAATTTATTAATCACTATTTTTCATTTCGATAATTTATCAAAACAAAATTCCCATATCTTTTTCTATTCTCATGATTATCCACTGAACTGAATTTTTTTCAATATAAATACTCTGTTTGTGGCTAAAAGATTGTCATAAAATTACATTAACGAAATAATTTTACTCAATTTGTTTTGTTTTGATCATTTTCTAAAAATTTTAATCATTTATTTTCGTTAAATCAATAATAATGTTCCTCAAGTATCAACAAACATTCAACGTGAAAGAATTAAAAAAGTTGAAATGTTTATAATTGATCACAAAGTTTGTCTCATTAATTTCTAGTTATCAATAGTTAATAAATTAACATTATATTAACTTGTTTATAAGCTAAAATTTTCGAGTTTTTTTATCGTGAGAGAACTGATAGAAATGTTTAATTTTATCAAACTAACATTTCCAATAGATAATTTATGCACTTAAACCAGTGGTTCGAAAAACTTGATTATAACAATTAAGTGAACAGATAAAATAAATGAACCTTCGGTTAGAAAGGAAATTGTATCGAGTTTTTTATTTTTAATTGTAATCATCTGGTCTTTGAATGTGAATTCTAACCATTTATTGTGTCACTTTCTCTAAATACAGTTGATTTTTGGATCATCTTTACCTTTGATCTTCATGGCAAAAGTGAGTATTAAGTCTTAGTTGTTAGCCTTTCTCTTATTATCGTTTAACTGACCTTTCGCTCAATTCAAACATTTGAATCTCTTTATCCCCTCCAGGTAGCAAGTAATCAATCGATCGCCAAGTTGGACTGTGGCCACGACCAAAGTGAAGTTTTTTATATTCATAAATGTTTGAAGACTTTTTGTTATAAGTGTGAGCAAGAAAATCTTTCGTGTGTCCTGTGTAAATCTGAACTAGTCGAAACTGATTATCTCAAAGCCATTGAAAGGAAAAGATGTGAAGATACTTCCATTTGCAACCGTCAAGCCATTTACCGTTGTTCGTGTGGAAACAAAGATTTTTGTGAGGCTCATTTACTTAAATTTCACAGAACAGTTTTACCATCAAAAAGATGTTGTGTTGTGATACTCGATTCGGACTCAGATTATCAACCATGTTCCAAGTGTAAAAATTTCATCGGTCGATATGTGGACTTCAAAACTAATGAGTTTTTCTGTGCTTCATGCAAAAAGGATAATAATTCATCTACTTTAGTGAAAATTGAGCTAAACGATGACAACAATAATACCGACAACATAGCCAACAATTTAAAAATTCATCTTGATAATTTACAAAAGCGATTGGATCTGTTGAACAGAAAATTGAAAGATTATACGATCGAGATAGAAAACGAAAAGGCCGAATTCAATAAAGGAATCGGTCACATGAGAAGTAAATTAGAAAGTTACTTGAGTGCTAACAAGGTCAAAATTGATTCTTTGCGAGCGGAAGTGGACAAATTAAAACAATTTTCGAATCAATTGAATCGCAGTGATAAATTTGGAATAATCGATCTCATCAAGTCGAATAAGCTTAACAATAAGCTTGCAGACTCGAAATTAAAGTTATGGGTCGAAGAGATAGTGAAATCGTATGTTATTCCTGAATTAACCAAATCGGATGTAGATTGGGCTAAAGAATCTGAAAGAGCTTTTCGCGAGTTGGTTCCTGGTCCACGGAACTGGAAGCTTAATCATGGTCCTTTTTTTCCTGATAATTTACTCAAATTAACTTACGACTTAATCAAAGAACAACTTTTGCACCAGAATATCTGTAGAGCTCCATCTTGTTACTGTGAACAAAACAATCTCATGAAAAAAGTTCACGACCTTAAGACTGAATGTAAACTCTCGCAAAATAATCTGGATTATTTTCTCGATTGCTCATCAATCGCTGGTGGTGATGTAACTCTATTGGTTGAAACTGGTAAACGAGCTCTTAATCAGTCTGATTTTCGCGTCGCTCGAGTTTGTTTTGAAGAAGCTCATCGAATCAGTCCGACCAATTGGATTGTTCTTGACACTTTAATGGGTCTTTACTTCATTTTCAATGATAACAGTAATTGTCTTAAGCTCGCAATCAAAGGTTTGACTGCAGATTGTAATTACTTCAAAGCTCGTGTTTTAATATCAGAGATTTTGAAATCAACACCAACTTTAAAATCAGAAATACCTGTTGGTCTTGATTATCTACTCGATTGTAGTTCCGAAGATGATTTGACAAGAAAAACAAAAATTTTAGACGAACTCAAAAGATGAAACAACTTCGTGATGGACAAAAAGACTGAAACACAAAAAGAAAGTGTTCGAAAATCTTTGCAATTAGACCTTAATTCAGAAACACTTTCATCATTAAAAGCCCTAATTTCAGCTTTAATAGACGTCAATAGTGAAATGGTTAAACAAAAACTCAATTTAAGTGCTTTAATAACATTGAAAATCACAGTCAATTTCCGTTCCAATGCCTCTACGAGTAACGGGTCGATCTCTTCCAAAGAAAACCAAAATCATAAACGAAAGAGCCAAGAATCAAGTCATAATCCATCAGCAAAGCGAAAACCAGTTGAAGATTCACAGCCAAAAGATCCAAAAGTCGACAATATGTACAAAAAGGTATTCTCAATTTTCCCTGAAAGTATTTTAACCCTCAAATAGTCCAAGAAGAGGAGTTACAGGTACAAACACAAAACGAAGCTCAAGTGGAACATTTAATTTTAACCCGTTTCCGCTCGAAACAAATACCATTCGTCTCAAAAGGAAAACAAATCTATCAGCTCATTACTGATCTTCTCTATGAAATAGCAAACGAGTCTACTGCAATCAAATTACCTTCTAATTTCATGGAGCTTTACAGAATTTATCGAAAATGGTATCCGTTACCAACACCTTTAACGTGCTCTGTTGAAGATATAAGTGTTAACAAAACAAAATTGATCTTGATTGCTAATGAAGTTCAGTTCGATAAATCCGAAGCAATATTTCTAACTGAATCGATTCCATATCTACAAGATTTATTCGATACCAACGATTATGATAAATTTTTCATTCGTCTTTTGACTCTACGAGGAATCAAAGAATCCAAAGTTGATTATCTTCTAATGGCAAATGAAATGTTTACCAAATCTAAACTGAAATCAGTTCAAGCAGCAAATCAAACTGTTTACACCTCATTTTTCCTTAGATCGATGATAAACAAGATGAACGAAAATAATTTGGACACATTATTAGATCAACATCGATACGATGAAATTGTTGAACTATTGGCATCTAAATCTGAACTCTCTGAACAAGAAGACAACTACCTTTGTCAAGTGATCCAGTCATCACAATATCGGAAACGAGGTATCGAAATTATTGCTCAATGTAAACAATTAACTGATCGATTGCTGAACCTATTACTATATTATCTAAAGAATGGTGATGGAACATCTATTGGTCGGGAATTGGCCATCAAATTGTTAAGAAGAGGAACCGAGGATTATAATGCAAAGGCCTGGACTTGTATTCTACAAGCATTCATAAACGAGATGCGACTTGATAACATGGATGAATGGAAAGTTATCGATTTTATTAACTCGGTTCATGAATATCTAGGAAATAAAGAAACTTGTCCTTTCTATGGAGAGTTTTTATCTCTTTCGCTAGATCATCTGGTCAATTAATCAAACTAATTCGATATTAAGAATCGTCCGTCTAGTTTATCTCGAGAAGAGCGATTTCTGGAATTGATAATGACAATTCTACTTGTTATTAATCACAGAGTCTCTTAAATTTGTAAAAGTCTTTTCGATTCTAAAATTTTTCAATTGTAATATATTTTTTTTTGACTACTAAAAATGTTTTTATGCAATTTTATCAACGAAATAAAAATAGAAAATTATTCGATTCTATCGATATCTGAGTTTCGACAATTAAATTTAATTGTGACTAAATAATAGTTAATCTGAAGTGAATTCGTTTGTACAGTCGATTATAATTATAACCGAAACAATTAAAGATAATTTGGTGGTATTGTTTATTAAAATACCAACAATTCTCTGGAAAAGTTGATTGAATTGTATCATTAATCATGATTGGACTTTAATTATAAACGATTTTAGATAAATTTTACTAATCAATAACATCAAAGATCGTTATGGATTTTGATAGACTATTCATTAGAAGATCAAGTTAATTAAATAAGACTTGTTATCAAGACAGAGATTAAAGATTAGATTAAGATTAATCCTCTCGATTTATTTACAATTGTGATAATTTTAATTGCGATTTGATTATAATCTGTGTACTAATTAGTTCTAATGTTATCGATTGAACAATTCTCTTCATCGAATTAGCAAATGAATAATAAGAAGATTGAAGTGAATTAATGATTTGCAAAAAAAAAGAGAAATCGATCAACTTAAAATCTAAAAATAAAACGAAAACAAAATTAATTAGTTTCTTTTTCATCATTAATTAACTTTCGATAATGTAATTAATTAATAGACCTTTGAATAGAAATAAACAAATTTCTCTCCCAATTAGAATTTAGATCGTTGGTTAATTAATTATTGAACAATTGATCAATATAATCATTTGTTGTTATTAGTGTTATTTTAATTGTGTGCTGACAATTTCAAATTTGATTAACTTTTGTGTTACAATTAAAAACAATGTTTTACAATTAATGGGAAATCAGAAAATCAAACAATCACAATTGGACAATAATAACAATGAGTATTATCAATGAATTACCATCATTATCATTTACCAGTTAAAGTTAATTACAAATGATAATTGAAAGAAAAGTTTCCTATCAGTTAATTGTTTAAATAATCAATTGAAAAAAAGAAATTTAGTTAATTAGGTTGATTAAGAAAGACATTGTTAAATCTAATGAAAGATTCAATTTCCATGTTAATTTGTTAATTGTTTCTCTTTGAGTTTCAAATTGAAACCAAAGAAAAACCTGATATATTTATAATTGGCATTAGATCACAATTAACTTTCACTAAATACATTTATTATTAATTAGTTTAAATAATTAATTAACTTCGTTCTCCCGATCATTTGTAATTCATTTGTCTTTTTTTTTCAATAGTTTTCTAACCTCACAACTGACGATTAACTAAATTGTTTAATTTAACTTTTCTTTTTGATTTTCTCTTGGTGATTCTCAAGGAGTAGAATTAATTTTCTGATTAATTGCTTGGGATGGAATCAATGAGAAAATTAAAAGCGACAAGGATTAAACATATGATTGATTAACAAGAAGAAAAAAAAACAAAGGCCAATATGTGAACTTGTGGGTTGACAATTGATTTGGTTGATTAGTATTACATGATTAGTTAATTAAACTGTTAAAGAGACAGAGAAACGCACAGTTAAGTTAATTTGAACAGAGTTAATTGTGAGGGCAAAAAAAGATTAAATTAAATCAATTACACACAATTTCATTTCTTTCTCTCTCTTTTCTAACAAATTGCAATATATTAATTATATTTGACATAAAATTAATGGTCTTCAAATCATCATTGTAATCATCATCTTTTAAATTGTTTGAATGACCAACGATGATTATGATGATGGTGATAATTGTTGATTAATCACTTGTTGTTGATATCGTGTTGCTGGAAGTTGCTGTTTAAACTTAAATCATTTGGCAGCAAAAATAATAAAAAGTAAACAATTAAATGTAATTATAACAAAAAAAATAATAAACAGTAATTAACCAACAAGAAAAAAATAGATTATAATAAAAGTGTCAGAGTGATTAACTGATTGAATTGTTTTCGGATGAGAGTAACAAATGATAAACACGAGAAAACCAATACAAAAGTTTGATTATCTTAATGGTAATTAAATCAATCAAATTTTTGTCTTTTTGTTTCATTTTTGATTAAACACAAGTTAAAGTGATTTGCTTTTGATTAACAATTTAAGCAAAAAGATTCTAATTGTTACTGTTAATTAGTTGGAATGTACTTGATTTGTTTCTGTGTTTATCTTTGTTAACAATTGGTCAATTGGAGATTAGGATGAGAAATCATAAATTCTAATTGTAGTTAGTGATGGTAATTAAAGTAGCTCTCATTGTTATCATTGTTAACGATGATATGAAATAGATGAATGAAAACAAAATGCTGAGTTTTAAATGGACAACGAAAAAAAAATCAAATAAAATCTTAATCAAAAAATCAGGATCTTGATCAAGAGAAAGCAAATAAATTTGTCAATTTTAGAGCACTAAGAGAGTTGATTGAGAAAATAAAACGATAACGACAAGAGCAACTAATCAAGACAGAGTAAAGGTATTGGATAGGTGATGGAGGTGATGATGATGAGGAGGTTGGTGATGATGATAACATGGAGGAAAAGAGAAAGGAGAAGTTCAGGAAGAAAAGAAGTAACTGTTGATGAATTTAGGACAAGCTCTTAAAATGAATCAAATGAAAAATTTCCTTTGAAATGGTAGAAGACTTTCTCAGTTGGATTAAATTCTGACGATTGATTAGAAAGATCCTACGAGGGATCGGGTTTTAGACATTTAGAAACTAGAACAGTTGATTGAGAGACCGAATTTAAGAGCTAGAAGTGTGGCAAGATGACAAGAGAAAGAAAGAAAGATAGAGAAGAGAGAGAGAGAGAGAGAGAGAGAGACGAAGAAGAAGAAGGAGAGAGAGAATGTTAATCTAAATAGTAGGTTGAGCTCAACAAGCACAGCTCGGGTTGCTTTGCATTGGATTATTGGTGAGCCGAGTTCCTTTGGAGGCATTAACCATTGTCGGGTCAGAGTCCAGGCTTTCGGACATTTTGTCACAAATAATATCCACAAGGCGTTCAAAAACGGCTTTCACATTAATATTTTCTTTGGCAGAGGATTCAAAAAACTCCAACCTTAATTGATCGGCCAATTGTTTTCCTCGTTCCGTTGAAACAACTCGTTCATCCTCCATGTCACACTTGTTGCCCACAAGAATAACTTGTGCATTATCCCAAGAATATTGTTGGATTTGTGTTACCCTAACAAGAGTGATGCAAGTAAATGAAAAACAAATTACAGAGAAACCAAAATTATTTAGGATAAACAATTAAGGAAACAATAAGGATCGTCTAATTCTTACCAATCATGGACACTGTTAAATGATTCCTCATTTGTAACGTCATACATCAAAATGAAACCCATCGCACCTCTGTAATAAGCTGTTGTGATTGTACGGTAACGCTCTTGACCAGCAGTGTCCTGGTAAAGGTAAACAGAGAAATTAAATTTAAGCCTATCAATGTGCAGATGAAACAATTAATCACTTACCCAAATTTGTAGTTTAACACGTTTGTCTTGTCTGAAAACGGTTTTCACTTTAAAATCTATGCCAACGGTGGACACAAATGCCGAAGTAAATTGATCATCAGCATAGCGAAATAGGAATGAAGTTTTACCAACAGAGCTATTACCTATTATCAGAATTTTGAACATGTAATCAAAATTTTGATCAGCAGCATCTTTTTGCCATTTGGGATCTGAACCTCCAGCCATCACTCTGTGAGATTGGAAATGGAACAAGGGAAAAGAAAAACAATAAAACACAAATTCTCAATAGAAAGTAAATTGTTGTGATTGTTTTAAATATAAATTGTACAATCAACATCTGCGAAGTGAAACAACAATAAGGAAAAGGATGTGACACAGGGAATATGCTTGAGAAAAGACCATGTAATCACTATGGAAGATGAAACAGAACAGAGAAGAAACAAATTGGACTTACTTTTATTTCCTCACAAATTGTTGTCTCTTCCGTGTGTCCACTTTTACCGTAACATTAGTTAATTAAAACAAGATCAATGGTTAAAATGGAGATAAATATCTAAAGAACAATTTAACAGCCAGAGAAACAATTAAGGTAAATGAGCAGATGATCTCCTGATGAAGAGGTTTCTGAAATTAAGCGAAGCTTTTGTAAGATTCGCCAACGATTGATCGACAAATCGAAAAATCGAAAAATTCGATTTTCATGTTCTATTGAAAATTCATCCATTTACTCGACATTTAAACCTAAAATTAGATTAAATTAACCAACAATTAATCAATTCAAAGATCTTATCAACTTTAAATTGTTCTCTTTGTAATTAAGCCAGTTGATTTCCTTAATTTTCGTTTTCGAAATTTAATCGATTCAAAATCTTGATCGATTTTTTACCTTTACAAGTTTTTCTCTGTCATTTAAATGAACCGAAAAGTGAATTACTAATCCGACAAAGAACCCACATCCTGTTAGATGTTGTAGATTAATCAATCATTGACTGATAAACAATCGTATAACTTGAAATGATTTAGTTTTGATTGTAATGTTTATTGACGACAAAATTTTATTCATAATTACAGAATTTAATTACTAGGAAATGATTTTGACGTTTTTAGAAAAATTCGAGATGTAAACAAGTTTTGGTGGAAATCCGGTTGATAAATTTTTGATCGATTTCAATCAAATTATATCGATGAAAATTTAATTGATCAACAAAAATCAGGTGTTTAATAAATTACAGTTCTATGCTCATAAAAATGGATAATAAAAGTGAGACAATTTGATGACGAAGACATGAAACTCCAATAGTGAACATCTTGATTCTATGGTGAAAGAGAAGAAAAAAACTAGGTTAAAATCTTATTACAACTCAGTGGAAATCATTGTAATTGTTACAATTGATCAGTTGAAGAAATTTGTTTATATCATGGAAGGTAAACGGCGGTGTTTTTTTAAAAACTATATCATAAATTGTTTTTCATCATTAAATAAACTCATCAACATTCAAACAAATTGAAAACTCACCTAAAAGTTACCGGTAAAAATGGAGAACCATAAAATTGAAAGCTGGATTAAAGATAAAAAGGTAATTAGCAAACATTTATCACGTCGACAATCAGGCTTTAATTGTTCTTAATTCAGATTTTTATTGCCTATGAGTTGGAATCAATAAGTGTTTGTGCACATTCATATGGTCACGTTTTATCATCAATGGGTTCCATTCAATTTCAAATAAATATTATGTTTACCTGGACAAACTTAAATTGTAAAACAATCCTGAACTCGATAATTCTGTCAAGAGATAAAGAAAAAAATTAGATTTAACAAACTTATGGATAAAAACAGTCAATTTTTACAATATCAGATTGTAAAGTTTTTTTCAAATCATATCGGTTTTTTATCAAAAAAACTCATATGTCCCTAACAAGTTTATCATCATTGAGATTAATTACAGACAAAAGGCTTGATTTATACCTGATAAATATTGATGAATCGATTAATGCGGCAACAATTGAGTACTGTAGGTGAAAAGAAAAAGTGAATGAATTAGCAAGATGATTTAGTAAGGGAAAAGGAAATGCTCCATATCACAATCAGGTGTGAAGTTGTTTAAATCACGTTGGTAAACGGCGGTGTTTTTTTAATTAAACATCTCAGTTACTAACAATATTCATCATGTTATGAAATATTGCTCAATTTAAGGCTAATGGAAACTTACCAATTATCAATTTAAACGGGATCATAATTATAATGGAGATTGTCTATGGAGAAATTAAAAAATTAATTAGAAATATTGTCATTGTATAGTAGTTTTTGTTAGAGATCAAATTATTCAGTAAGAATTTTATAATCACTAGTTCAGAGATCTTGGTGATAAATAGACTCATCACAGAGAAAAAAAGTTATAAATTTGCTTTCATTTTTACCTTCAATTTTGTTTGGAAAACACAATTACAACGGACACTCTCTGAAATCATTCGTTAGGTCACATAATCTAATAAAAAATAGAAAAAAGAATGTATCATAACCCTGGCATCATAGATGAATAAAATGGTCATCGACGACATGTGTAGTCAAGACTCTTTCATATTGCATCCTTATTGCCTCGATAAGTAATAAAATTAACAAATCAAGGAGAGTGTAGGTGCCAAAGAGAGCAAGTCACATCAAATTAGAACGTACCATTTGGAATTGTAAAAGACCAAACCATCCAGAGTAAGTAATAGAAACAGCAATGAGGAAACTCTGAAGTAAAAAGAAATGAGGTGTTAGAAAGATGCGTGCTCAAACTTGTACGAAAATTAAAGTTCAAACATAGATGTCTAACTGGTTAATCTTGCAGAATAGGGAACGACATGGATGTCAGAATATAACAAACCAAGTAGCAAAATCTGCTTTCAGAAAGTAACCAATAGACGAAACAATCAAATTACCTGAAAAAATCCATCAAACTGAAATCAACCATGAACCAAAGTCTACATGAGATGGGATCTAAAATGGATAAAGTGTAAGAATCTCTTAGTGCCAATCTTTCAAATGTAAGAAACAATCAGCGTGGAAAAGACTGATTACTCTAGCACAGTAAAGGAAAAGAATTAAATCAACAAAATTAAATTCTTTAACGAGTGTTACTATGCAGAAGACAAGAGCCAGGCCAGAGCAACTTACAAGTAGACCAAAAGTCAACCAAACTCCAAACCTGTTGAGAAATGAAAAAACACATAAAATTATAATCGGGAAATAGTCATGAACATAGTGAATATAAAGTGATTAGTCAGAAATTCTAGAGCGAACAATCATAGAGATCATTTTAACATGTTGTTGGGTATGTTGTCATCAGAAAGAGGATAATTAATGAACTAGTTGGTTTCTCACCTTTGCCTGGTTTCATGAAACCATTGAGTCAATACATGGCATTAAGAAATAAATCTGAAATAAAGAACAAGATTGTATTAGAATATCAAATTTTACATTTGTTACGAAGAGCACAATTGCTTTCAGATAGGGGCGAAATGGTCAATCATGCTTTATCAGCTGAACTAAATTCAATCATCATTGTGATCACAATAATTTCACCATCAAATACGAGCTCTTACCTTTTCCCATTTTCTTCATTTTCCCGTTCCAATCACCAAAACGATGATTTCTAGATAATTTCAAAAGACCGAAATTGATTTGAGAAAATACATTCGTGTATAATTGATTTGATAATCAGATTCCACGTTAAGGAAGTCAGATAGGGCTAGGTAGTCGTCATTAGAATAAGATAGACTAATTCAATCATCATTGTATCCAAATAGAAAGAAAATATTTCCAACCAAATAATGTAGACTTACCATTCAATTAATTCTGTAAATCAATAAAAAGAGAGGAACACAAATTAGATGAGAAATAGAATTTACAATTTCTAATCAATTACTCTGGTCAGAAAACGTGGGTGAAACGAAGGTTATCCATCACTATTGTATCAGTGTGGTGCATGATATCTCATCATATTAGAGTAATTAACCTTGAGATAATTAAAGGATTAAGACTTACCAATTGCTCCATTGTGATGTATGTGAACCACGTGGTTACAAATCAAGCATGTTGAACCTTTCGAAAGAGAGAAACCATTATAAATATAGAACAAATTTCAGCGAATTTCACACAAAAGTTAAATTAAGGCTCAGTTCAACTTGTTAAACAATCATAGAAATCATTAAATAAGGTATGTTGTCATCAAAACAATTTGACCAAAAAATTTCATAGAAAACAAGAGACTTACCATAATATATACGAAATAATATCACCACCGATTGAATCGGTCAAAATTGTCAACTACTTATCCATTACATGAATTGGTGATGAGGAACAAAAAGTAAAGACAGTTGACATCGTAATTTAAGAATAGAACTAACAATTAAAATTAAAAAAATTTCTCTTTTAAATCGTTTTTACGGAAACAGAAATAAAAATAAATTTGTAAACCGGAAAAAGCAAAGAAAAGAAACTTTACAAAGAAAGAAAGTGACATCTGGTGAATAGAAAACAAACTTATTAAAAGTCACTCTTTTTCTCAACTTCTTTAAAATAAGAATTGCAATTTACCTTTGATTACCTGTTATCAAGTGTTCGTTTTAATTGATTACAGTGAATTTCCGATCGTTTGGATAAGTGATTTCAGCGAAGTCTCGAAGTCAATGGTGAAGTGTTAGCCGATCGGTGAGATTGAAAAGTTGACCGAGTCTGATGAAGTTAATTGAATATTTACAAAGATCAACTATGTAAACAAGTGTCGATGGTTAAATTGTTTGTGTCCACTTGCAACCGAATCAACATTTGATACTTGAAATTTTGGGTTAAAGTTTAAGATAAAAAGGATATTTGAATTTCATTGGTCAGTTGATATTCGTCTTGGCCTAATGGACTTTTGAACGAGTTTTTCTATATTCGTATTTTCATTTTTTTTTCATCTCAATCAGTTTGATTGCTCGTTTGCTTTGGTTAAGTTTTCACAACTTTTTCTTTCTCATTGTTTTTCATCATGTCTTTTACACAACAAATGAAATTAGCTCTTCTTGAGGCTTTTGTCGACAATGACCGATCTTTTGAAGCGGCTATTGACCATATTCACCGTGTTTATGGAAGAGACAATTGTCCATCCGATCAAATCTGTATAATGTAAGTTTAAAAGATCAATTTACTTTCTTTGTTTATCTTTTTCTATGTTTCTATAAATTGATCAATTTTTGTTTTCTTCCAATAGGTTCATCAATGCTTTACTTTTAGATGATGACACAAGTGATTCAAGTTCAGGTCATAATTCAGATATGGAAGAGAATGAATCTAATGATGAAGAAAATGAAGATCACGGGGTTTCATGGCCAGTCCAACATGGAAGTGACCATGGCAGTGACAATGAAGGTGAAAGTGACAATGATATTATTGAACAAAGTGCTCAATTTGAGCAACTACATGTTGACCCTTCAGCATTTGAGGCCTTGAAATCGTTTTTCAAAGATAATCCAGAAGGGACCATAGCCGAAGCTCAGACTGCAATCGGTGAACAAGATGATTGGGTTAAATTGTTAAAGAAATATTTCATTAATCAGAATCCAATGTACATTCGTATCTTTCATCACCCCGAAAGTGAACATTATACTTTGAGAAAAACTTTTGCTGACCGATTGCTCGATTCACTTGGAAGTGGACAAATTTCCCTTGAGAACCTCGTCTTTGCTGATTATTGTACTTTCAATTCACATCGATCAGTTCAACGACAAACGTACAAATTTTTTGGACATTATCCTCCATATTATGTTCGGCTTCGTTGGCATCCAATAGCTGTCAAAATTTATGCAGCGATGTCTTTGAACTTTTTAATTATCAATTTTGTTGATGGTTCAACCAGTTGTGATGATGATGGTTCTTGTCTCATCGATACGATTAAGATCAATTTCAATAATCGAGAGGATAAATTGTGGTATGTTCAGGATGGAAATGACCTCAACTCAACAGATCTTCATCAAACTCTACGCGAATGTTTCGATGAACGAGTTATCGGATTCGAAAATTCTCAATTCTTTGGCGGTGGAATCGTTTTCCCACCTAATTCGCCTTTCATTTCACCTTGTGATTTCTTTTTGTGGGGTCACATCAGGAATCACGTATATAGAACAAAAATCACTTCATTGGTACAATTAAGAGAAGCCATTGTTAATGCCGCTTCGACCATCACACCCGAAATGAGGAGAGAAGCAATTAGAGCGACAATTAGAAGACTCGAATTCGTAAGGATTACAAATGGCGAAGAATCAATTAATGTCTATATGTAATTCACATTTCATTTTGTTTCACAAATTAATCACATTTTTTTTCAATTTATTACAATAAATGAATTAAATTTGTCGTCAAAAATTTACAATATATTTTGCTCTTTGATAATATAAAAATGAGAATGTTTTTTTTGATCGAAATCAACAGTTATAGTTTTCGACTTTTGGGTAAGAGTTTGACTCGGTTCGAAATAATTAGTGTTAGTAATTAATATTGAAAAAGGGACAATTAAAGCTGATTGATATGGAAATACGTTCGAAGGTTTCAAGATTAATTGGTTAATCTCGTTCGATTGGATGTCGATGAGAAACACCATTGTTAACGAATAGAGAATCAGAGATTTTTCTCAAACTGTTAAAATCAGCTAATTTTTCACTGGTTCGACAAGCGGCAAGATTGGCTTGGACTCGAGTTGATCCTTCGTTACAAATCACTTTGACCATGTTGACCTCGTGTTGGGCTGAAGGGAAATTTTTCTGAATCGATCGAGTGGCTCGTGAAAGTGTTACAATCATGGAGTAAATGTCAATCGCTGAATCGGCCAATCGTTTGAGGATAAATTGTTCATGGATAATTTTCTTATTATATTTGATTAATAAATGTTCAACGGTGGCACCAAAATTGGTCACGGCTTTGGAGACTTGAGACGCTGAAGGTGCTAATTCGGGAGAGACAAATTCGGCAAGTGATGGACCTGAAGCAAGACCAACGGCTCTGAAAACTCGTTTGGTTGATTCATCGAAAATCATTCCCAAATTGGCAACTGGATTTCTCATTGCTTTTTGTAATTCTTTCAAATGGAAACCAGCATTTTGGATTCCGGTTAAGGCGACAAACAAACGGAGAATATCATTTGTACCTTCGAAGATTCTGAAAATTCTAAGATCTCTCATTATCTTTTCGACTCCAGTATCTCTCATATAACCCATTCCACCGAGAATTTGAATTGTCTCATCGCAAACAAACCAGGCCGCTTCCGAGGCGAAAACTTTAGAAATTGCCGCTTCCAAGTGGAACTCAGTTGATCCTTTGTCCATATTACCGGCTACCATATAAGTCATAGATTCGGTTATGTATTGAGCGATGGCCATTCGAGCAATTTTTTCCTGGATGGTTCCGAAGGTGGAAATTTTATCACCAAATTGAACACGATTGTTGGCGAAATCTGTTGCTTTAGAGATACAGAATTTCATCGTTCCACTGAGTAAAGCTCCCATTCCAAATCTTCCACTATTCAAGATATTCATTGCTACCTTGAAACCTCCGCCAACTTCACCAAGAACATTTTCCACGGGAATTTTAACATTCTCAAAGTAAACTTCAGCGGTGTTTGAGGCTTTGATTCCCATTTTTTGCTCAGGAGGACCTGATGAAATACCACCGAAAGCTCGTTCAACAATGAAAGCGGTCACTTTTTCCTTTTCCTCTCCACTTGATGTAACTACCGGAGTTTTAGCGAAAACGGTGAAAACATCAGCGAAACCGCCATTGGATATCCAAATTTTAGTTCCATTAAGAATATAATGTGATCCATCGGGCGATAAAACTGCTCGAGATTTGATAGAACCAGCATCCGATCCCGAACTTGGTTCAGTTAAAGCAAAAGCGGCCACTTTACGTCCAGTCGCTAAATCGGGAAGATATTTACTCTTTTGAGCTTCATTTCCATACAATAAAACGCCTTTGTATCCAATTGACTGATGAGCCCCCAAGGTAATCGCAAGACCTAAATCACTTGCACCCATGATCTCCGCGAGAACAGCGTATTGAGTGTTATTCATTCCAGCACCTTCATATTGAGGAGGAACCATAATCCCAAATGAGCCCGTTTCGGCGAGGGTTTTCATCACCTTCTCATCCGCTGCTCCTTTCAGTTCAGCGGCTAAGGCATCATGTTCAGAGAAAAGCTTCTCACTGGGTTCACGAATCATCGCAAGGGTTTCCAATTGATCTTCCGTTAAAACATCAGGATAAGGAAACACTTGATTCACTTTGGCCTGACCAGAAAACATACTCATCACGAAGGAATTGGTTTCGGGAGGCCTTTCCTTTTTCAACTCTTCTCGTCTCTCCTCCACCGTTTGAGCCTGAGTGGCCATAAGTCGTTGTAATGAGGATCGTGGATGCAAAGTGAGAGGTGAACATCGGGCTCCATTGAAAATACCACAGTTTCGAACCAACTTAGCCAATATTAACGAGGTCATAATGGGAAAAAAACTGGACCAAAAAACGTAAACAAAGAAAATAAAAAAAAACCAGAAAAATGAGTAAACACTATAAAGGCAAATAGAAGACAAAATTTAGGTTAACTTACATTTGAATGTAAACAAACCAGAAATAGAAAAAGATTAGATTGATGATTGAATTAAATTGTCACAATGAAAAAATTTGATTAAAAGAAAGTTGATTTAGTAAAATCTAGAAAAAGATAAGAGGAAATGATTGAAACAAAATGTAAGAAAATAACATGAAAATGTCAATAAACAATATCGATAGAAATGAAAACAAAGTCTCATTGAAATGATGATAAATGAAGAAAATCTGATTAAATAATTACCCTGTTGATCAGTGATCAAAGATCCTGATGAGCAAACAATTAACAGAGAGTAAAAACTGGAATAAAACCAAAGATAATTAGATAATTAATCAGATGAAAAGAGATGAACAAGAAATCAAATGTTGTCGCACTGAAGGTAAATGAAGAGCTCGACCTGCCACCAATAGTTAACTTGAGGTTTTCTCAGTTATCTAATCACTAATCATAATAGTTAATTGTTGACCAACAAAATCAATATTAAAGGTCATCAAATGATTAAGGAAAAAACTGGAAATCAAATGGAATCAAATGTAAAGAGCAAAAGTTGTTTGCATTCGTTTTCTTGTTGACTTGAATTAATGGTCGATTGGATTTAGATGAACAATTTATTTAATTATAATAATTTAGAGGAACAGGTATCTGATTGTGGAATTGAATTAATTTCATCAATTAGAATTAGAATTTGAAATGGAAGCAGATTTTAAAAGGAAAAGGAAATAGTCTTCGTAACATCGACCTTGATAATAAACTTTGTTCCCATCGAAAGGTAACAATCAGTTTTCTCATTTTCTATCCAAGGTTAAGGGTAAGAGGTTAAAGGTTGGACAATTTAAGATGACATATGTAACCAGTGGGAATTTAGTTCTGTGCAAGCATTGATTAAGAAATTGCGTTTTCTTAATCAACCTTGGAATCGTTTTAATTCAATATGATTTCAATTGATTTTCTCTTTCAAAGGTTTTAAGGTTCACAAGGAGTTGAAAGGTAACATAAGGTCAGTTTTTCTGATACTTTTACTTTTAAGTTTCCAACCTCTTAACAATTTAACTAACCAATCAAAGTTTACTATTTACTTTCTCAGGTATTAATACAATCAGTTTCTATCATTTCCTTAATTGTTGTTGTATTAGAGTAAAAGGGTTTTCTTAAAAGAGGAAACAGTTTACAGTTACTTGTTAACCCTTTCGACAATTTCAACCTTCAACCTTAAATTTTGACCTAATAAGATTCAAAATAACCTTGTAACTAGAAATTTAACCTTAATTCAACAATTTAGAGACCAAAGAGTTAACAGTTAACTAGCAAATCAACCAAAAAAGCTAAAGGGTTAATCGGAAACTCAATCAACGGAACTAAAGAGTTAAGGCTTAGGCTCTCATCTAAATCAAATTAATTAATCTCGATTTTCTGATTGAAATTAAAACAATGGAAACTAATTAACTGGATAATTAAACTTGCGAGATTTTTAATGAGAAATGATTAACCTTAACTCTTTAGTTCCGTTGATTGAGTTTCCGATTAACCCTTTAGCTTTTTTTGTTAACTCTAGTTAACTGGTCTCTTTGGTTGAATTAAATTAGTTGAATTAAGTTATTTTTAAAATCTAGTTACAAGGTTATTTTGAATCAAAATTTAAGGTTGAAGGTTGAAATTGTCGAAAGGGTTAACAAGTAACTGTAAACTGTTTCCTCTTTTAAGAAAACCCTTTTACTCTAATACAACAACAATTAAGGAAATGATAGAAACTGATTGTATTAATACCTGAGAAAGTAAATAGTAAACTTTGATTGGTTAGTTAAATTGTTAAGAGGTTGGAAACTTAAAAGTAAAAGTATCAGAAAAACTGACCTTATGTTACCTTTAACCTGGGAAGCATTTAGATTATGATATTCAATAGATTGTAACAATCAGAGCCTCGTTGGGTATCAAAGGATGTTGTTAGTTGATTGTTAAATCCAAGGTAATTAAATCTATTCCCATGGATTTAAATTAATCTCAATGTTAAATACTGTTTGTGGTAACTGTTTAACCTTTTACCGTAACCTCTTAACCTCTTAACCTCATCTTCTTAACCTTGATCCATGTCTTGCATTTCCTCATAAGGAAACAACATAAGGTTAACCTTTTCAAATGATTTTGGCGATTCTAATAATCAAAATAAACTTAAATCACTACCATTCAATGAATAGAAATCATTAAATCCAATCAATCATTTCAATATTAACCAAATCTATGAGTTAATTGTTTTCTTTTTCGAGTGATTATTTTGTTAATTGTCCTGTTTACTTTTCTATCATCATCGATTATCGATTCAGAATCAATTTCTTTGGTAAAAAGCCTTCGGGTCGAAACTTTTGAAAAACTTTCGATTTCGCTGTTTTTTTTAATCATCACAACTGATCTTAATTGTTGTCGATTAAATTTCAGGTGATTTGTTGATTGTTTGATTATGTTTTTTAATGGAAAAAACGACAAAGAAAATCGATAGAAAATCAAACATTAGATCAAATTGGAGATGAAAATTTTCTATTGATCATGATAAACGAAACTCTAACAATCTAATTGTTATTATCTTCTTGTGGTTAAAGTTAAACACAACAATTAAGTGGTCATCTAGTTGTCTGATGATTGAACATGATTAACTTTTAATGTCCTTTTTTTATTGACCAACCATCAATGGAAATGACCGGAAACAATTTAGCAAGTAAACGTGTAGGAAAAGCAAAGGTGAGTTTCATCAATGGAAACCACTTACATGGAAGATGATGAAGATGATAAATCGAACCGAAAAAAGAAAGAGAAAAATTGAAAGAGGATGAAAAAAAAGAAAGTAAAGAAAGAGAAGGAAAAAAAAGGTTAGAGTTGCTCAACTCGTTTTCTATTCATTTACTTTCTCGTATGAAGATAAATGTTTGCTCAATTTAAATTGTAAACATGTTTGTTAATTTAGTCTTTCTTTTCTTCTGTGATTAACACTAATCATCTAATGACATTAATTAAATTCCCATTCTGATGATTAGATTATTTGGAATATCTAATTGATCCTCTTTTCTTCACCTTGGTTGTCAATCTAACAAAAAGCTCTCAGTGTTAAATCAGCTGTTTACTTGATCAACATCCCAAAAGAAATTGAAATGAATCTGTTAATCTAATGATCTGTTTCTCAATCTATTACCATGATAAATTCATTTTCCATTCATTTTCCACATTTACTGAGTATTCCTAATGGTGGGAAACATTCAGATGAAGAAAAGACAAAAGTGAACCCATTGAATTATCATGTTTTCGAGAGTAACAATCAACACATACAAAGAATCGCGCATTGGTAATATAAGTCTTCATCTTTACTACACATTAACATCAGATTTTTTGTCTTCTCCATCATCATCATCATCATCTTCATCATCTTCTCCTCTTGTTATTGTTATATTTATATAAACCATCGCAATGATTATTAATTACCCGGCAGTTTCAAGGTTGGCTTGGTTGGATTCTGCCAATTTTGACAAAGAGGGCTTCCTGTTTGTCCGTGAGAGACGTGAGGGTTTATTTAATCATTGGAAAAGTGAAACATTCATTGAACGACTTTGCCGGCTTCGAGGTAACCTTTTATTTATCCTGTCAACAAGTAATCCGGATACAAAGCTATCAGCTAATCAGCAATATCATCCCAATGGTAACAAGGCTAATAACAATAGTAGAAGTGATAACAATTACGTAAACAACAATATTCACAACACTATTACTCCAACAACACCATCGATAGTTAATAATCATAATAGTGATGGTTGGATTGATGAAACGACAACACACCAACGGATTAATCAATCATCATCATCGTCATCAACAACAACAACCACATCGACAAGTGAGATTATTGGTAAAGATTCAACGTTAATTGGTGAAAATCGGATCGTTTTTATCTTATTATTGGAAGAGTGTGTTATCAAATTATCGGAGGAGAGTAACAATAAACACTTTTCCTTTATCATTGAATTTGGTAAAAATGATCCAACAAAACCTTTTCATTTCACTACAATCTCTCAACAGGAGAGAGATTCTTGGGTTGAATGTATCCACTTGTCGAGTTTAAATTATCTTAAATCACTTCGAAAAACGTTCACCAACCTTAAGATTTTCTCTGACCTGGCATCGAACTCTCAAGATCCAATCCTCGATCCCATTGGAACCACAAGTTCATCTTCATCAGCAATAAACTCATCTTCTACTTCCTCTTCCTCTCAACAACAACAACAACAATTAGTTCACAAGGGCTTCCTTTGTTCCAATTCTTATATGAAAATTAATCTCTCATGTACTGTTATATTATCTGATGGTTCACCTTTAGAACCAAATATTTTCATCGCCGTCTTTTACCGGAAGGAGAAATTTACCTCTTGGACTTTTTTAGACAAAACGGAAATTGTTTCCTCACAAAGTGCCAAATTTGCTAAGCAATTTAATTTACCTTCAGAGGATTGGTCACAATATCAATTACGATTTAAGGTTTACGATGTCGTTGAACGTTTAACTGAAACTCGAGTTCTACTCGGTGAATCTGTTTATGCTTCACCTTCCATGATTATGACCTTACCCGAAACAAACATTGACAATTCACAAATTTTTGATCTTGATATTTTATCAACTCTTCGTGATTCCCATGTTATTGGTAAACTAAAGGTAACAATTAAGGGACCCGTTTATCCGGAAGATAATAAATGTCACCAAACTGAATCTCTTGCTACATCTCGTCGACCAAAAAGCTTACCACTTACATCAATCCATTCAACACAATCAACTGTATTATCATCATCAACCAAATCAAACAATAAAGCAGCTAAATCATCATCGTCATCATCATCCCAAGTCACCACCATGAGTAAATCAGAACACCCATCTGAAGGTGGATCAGGAGAAGGAAGAGAAATGGATGAAATAGAGAAAAGGGAAGAAGATGAAACAATCGGTTCACCATTGGAATCAAATAGTAATAATTGTAAACAATCAAATACGTTATCATCCAAGTAATTTTGATTCCAATCACCAACAATATCTGTTTATGGTTACTGGAATCTAGATGATGATCTTTTTGTGAATATTATCCATCGATCTTTTCAATTTGATGTTCCATTGAAAGGTTTTAATTCAGATACGTGAGAGTAAATCATCAACAAAATAAGACGAAAAATAATTTTCCAAATTCGTGATGATCTTATCCTATGTACATGGTACTCACCACGAAATCTCATCTTTTATGTCTACCAGATTAGATTTTTACTCTTAATTTCCTTAATTTCCTCGTAAATTAGTAAACAATCATAATCTTAATTAGGTTGATGATAATTTTATTTTTCCATTACTCTAATTTGATATCTTGTTCGCTCTCAGGAATATTTTCATGGACGATGAGAAAAAACTAATGAACTGTGTAACTTATTCATTGGGTGAAGTTAAACCCGATTACCAACGAACCCAAATGAGAGTATTGGAATCACATTTACGTCTTGTTAATGTGGTAACCGAATCGATAAACGAACTGTATCAAGTCCAATTGGATAAGAAATTTTTTCGACCTTCAATCGCTAAGAAAGAGCTTCACTTCCAATACGTGCCACTTAACCTTCACCTACAAAGGTGTCTAGTCAACGATTCGGACAGTGGTACCAAACGAAGGTCAACAATTTGCTACAATAATACTCAACAATCAGCAATCAAATCATCTGATATTCTCGAGAATAGCAATTCAACTAATTCATTGGATGTTTACTCTGTAGGAGCTTTTGCTGCTCATTATTTAGGCTTTGATCAAGATAATTTAAATCTAAACAATTTGGATGCCCACTTAGCCTCTAAAAGTACCTCAGTGTCAACATCAACTTCATCTTTAACATCATCATCATTATCATCATCAAGTAATCTGAACATTTTATCCTCAAAAGATGTTAATTCATCCATTTTGAAAGTTTGGAAAGCGATGAAAAATTTCCTGCTAATTTCATCAACAGTTCAGCTAATTGATGTTTCCATGAGAAAGTTAATGTTTTATATTGAAGATGGTTCATTGGCTCAAGATAAATTGAAGACACTTTATGAAATGATTGATTCAAATGCTCATAAGTTAATCAACGTTCTTGATCCAAGGGATGTTGAAGAAACGCTCATGTCACTTGAGGTGTTGAAAAATCATTTACCCAACACTGGAACAACCAACACTAGTAATCATCATACTTTCAACTCTGGATCAATTAATTACACTTCAGGAGGTAAAATAACAACCGCTGATTGTTCAACCAGTGAAATTAGGACAACCAATGAGCCAACAATTAACAACAGGAAGAATAGTCAATCAGCCACCGTTGCTGCCGCTGCTCTTGCCACCGAAGAGCAACAAGAATTGGAACCAGTGGATCTTATTTATCTCAATATTAAGGCGAGTTTAATTAGTATCTCTGGAAAGATTAACAATTGCAATGTTCCAATGGTTAATTCAACTGGTGGTGGAAGTAAATGTTCCCGGTCAGATATCGAACCCTCAAACGGAAATTGATCTCTGCCAATGCTGCTCTTTTAAGAATCAGTTCAATCTGTTATGCAATCGAAGCAATTAAATTGGAACGAGAAAATCTCGAACTTTTCTACAACCTTCGACTTAAACGAGGAATGATTTTCAGTCAAATATTAACCACAATAATTAGTTCAGTGGTTAATGAAATCAAGTCAATCTCCTTCCAACGTAATCTAATTAAAACCAAATCGATATTTGTTTACTTTCAATCATTACTCAGTTGTTATGCTCAAGAAATCGGAATGCTCAACGACATGGCCGCCGCTGTATCCGAGCTTAATTCATGTGTTACATTTGTTTTCATTAATTTCAAAGATTCAGCTCGATCAACATTAGATTTACCTCGAATCGAGGGCAACGGGTAAGTTAATTAGTCCTCTAGCAATTAAATCTTTCCCTTGTAATTACTTATTTAAAAATAGTCATAAGCTATTGAAACAAACTTTTATCTGCTACTAAAGCAACTAGAATATGATTAACTAATTATTCATTTCTAACGATCAGTATTAACGATTTGTTTGGTTTATTGACTAATTAAATCAACAATCAAACATGAAAAAGCTTCATTGATCAAGCAATACACAAGTATATTTTTAGAATAAGATTTGACTGATAATGAAAGTGAATCAATTCCATAACCTAATTAATTTGTTTCGTCCCTGGCAAATCAATTAATTAATTATTATCAATTTGATTCTCTTCTCAGTCACAATGTTAGGGTAATTATATCAATTTCATCACAAATTTTACCTGATTACCTTGAAGCTCAACCAAAAGCATTACTTTTTAATATTGGAATCAATGAACAAGCAACTCTTGCAGAAACGTAAGTATTATTATCCTAATTATGGGCAATCAATAAATTGATTGTATTTTTTTCATCGTCGTTTATGCTAATCAACAACTAATCAATTGTATGTTTTTATTTTCCATCTTTCTTAGACTTGGTTTGGTTAAATTACAAGAAACAATTAATCAAAATGCTTTCCATAAATTAGAACAATTTATTTCAATTGTTGGTTACAAAGATGATTCTCATTTGGTTGATTTAATTACAGCCTTAAAGATTGAACTTTGGTCTCGTCGAGCGAAAAATGTTCGTATTCTACATTTAATGGAACAGATCACTTACCGTTTGAACGGTATTCGTTTTACAAGTTGTAAAAGTGCCAAAGATCGAACCTCAATGGCGATCACTTTGGAAGAGGTTCGATTCTGTTCGAGAAAATATCATTTCAATGAGATCGATGATTCTCAACTTTTCCAGCAAATGCTCGATACTTTAAGAAGGTACTAGACTCGCAACAATTGAAACTATTAATTGTAACTAATCATTTTCTCTAATCATTTACAGTGAGGGAACTCGACGGGAAAATACTCGTAAGAATATTGGTATCGCCAAGTACGCATTTAATTCACTGAAAGCGATGACTTTACCTAAATTATATCGACCTCCTCCTGGAACTTATAGTAACGTTCGTGATTAGATCAACAATTAGAATGATACAATGATTATAATCGCATTTACAAAATGATGGACAATCATCATGGATATAAAAAACTCTTTCCTTCATTAATCATCTCTAGTCAATTGAAGTTATTCATTTAAATTAGAAAACAAAGAACAAAAATATTCAACAATCAGTTTACATCATTTGGAAATAATTTTAATCACCTTAATCAAGGAACCAAAATCTTAATGTTGTCCAAATCATTTAGAAGAAAAGAGCAATTAATTGAATCAATTTTCTTTTCTTTTCTGTTACTTAACAATCCGTCAATTATCATTTAAATAAATATCATTATTATTATCAAGAAAAATAACAAGCATAATACAAGCTGATGAATTGTGACTCCATTTTCATTAAAGTGAATCAAATGTCACGTTGATTAATTGTTTTAAATAATTGATATTCGTCTCCTCTCTTTAGGGTGAGTATGGTGGAGGTGGAGGTAAAGTCATCGAGTTTGGAGGAACCATAGCTGATAAAGTCGGCGGTGGTGGAGGGGGAGATTGCCAGCGAGGTGAGATTGTTTCCTCAAGTAAATTGTTTGCTTCAGAATCATAGGGAGGCGAAAAGTAGAGAGAAGATGAGAAAAAGTAAGGTTTGGGTTTAGCGAGAAGGTTACAAGCAGCAGCGATTAAACCAAGAAGCCCAGCGAGACTAATTAGATAATAGCTGATTTCGAAGTGAATTTCCACATTGGGTGGATGTTCATTATTCCAATTTAAAAAATGAGCTTTGTTTACTCGTCTTCTTTGTTCTTTCTCTAACAAATCAGCAACCAAATAAGCAAAGCCAAGTGTAAATATACAAGAAACAACACCAATTAAATTGGCTAATGCATGACGCCTCATATGTTCAAGAATTTTTCGTTTTGTACCCAAGGTGTCAAGAAAAAATTGAAATAAGTTGAGTAATAGACTTGAAAAGCATAAAATAATTATCGTCCTTCGTAAATGACCAATTTCAGGGGTTATACAGCTGATATGAGCTCGACCACTTTTCACCGAGATACTTGGATAGATACTTTCTGTCAAATCACGATTAATTGACCCTTGACGTTGGAGCAACGAGCCATTGTTATTCGGGTTACCAGATAAAATCTTGGCTTCACCTTTAGGCTGAAGGGAAGCCTTTATCTTTTGTCTTTCAATGATATTATTTGTATTTCCTCGTATTTCCTCCTTATTAACACTATTACTTGCTAAACCATAATTGTGTGGAATGAAGGTAAATGGTTCGATATAAAGTTCCTGTAATCCTATATAAACGCGATCACAACGTCCACCTCTTATACGAAACCATTTAGGTTGAGCAATAGCTGCTGAAAGTGTTGCAATGACCAATAAACTCATTAATGCAGCCCACAAGTTCCTCTCACCACATCGGTTTGAATCTGAGAATAGAAAATAAGGATAAATGTTACAAATAATTTACATAAGACAATAAAAAGAAAAAAAAATTGAAAGCTCTAAGGCTCAACATTAATGAAACAGATAATATACCAAAGAAACTTGAGGCGAGATGATGTCTAGTTGAACTATGATTGTAGTAATTGCGACTATTGTGAGTCCTTTGAAGGTGTGGAGGGCCTAAGATTGGATTGTGTTGCCTTCTAGGCCTTGAACTTCGTCTTCTTGGTCGATTGTGACTACTACTTGAACCAGTTTTAAATGAATCAAGGAAAGTAGTGATATAAACTCCGATGATTTGGATTCTAGATGAGGCTTGGTCTCTAGCTCGGTCCACATACTCTCTTAGATTAGGCATATTGAGATTACTTTGTAAATATAGTTACAAATCCATTTGAATAAAGTAATTTAGAAAAAATTATCAGATCTTTCAACTAATAATTGACCAGATTAGGTCGAATAAATTTAAACACAAACAAATTAATGAGAGCTGAATGAGATGCTGATACTTTGACTGAATATGACAAGTAAAAGTGAACACTTCCAATAGAATACAAGAAAACAAAGTTAAATGAATAAATGGGTAACAATTAAATTAAATTTAGGATAAAAATTAACAACAAAAATGATCAAAATTTGAGGTCAATGTTGATTTGAAACACGAATTGACAAAACAGAAACACTACCTTGCCTTGTAAATACAATTAATGATGAAACAAAAGATTTACAAGGTTACGAGGTAGAAACAATAAGAATTAACAATCTAATGAAGGAAATTAATTAAACCCAAAAGTTCACCATAGAGAATTGATTAACCCTACAATTAAAATCAACATGTTGATGATAAAATGATCAACACAATCATAATTAAATTAATTAAACAGATAACAAAACAACAAGAAAACACTTGACAACAAAAAGCAAAATCATCTGACGAAGAAACTAAAAGAAAACCGGCAAATTCAAATCAAACTTTAATTCGGAAAAAAATTATTTTTAATCAGATGAATTGCAATTTACTTGGAATTGAATTTGAATTGGAAGTTGAAACTTCTATTTCAAATAAATTGATCGAAATTCTATAAACCATCAGTTTAAATCTTGGTATCTGTCAACTCGAAATCTTTTGAATTTACAATTTACTGACTGAGAGAAATTAATTTTGCTTCATCAAACTATTAAATTTCTTGAGTAGGAATAATAATAAAATGATGGATTTTGTTGAAAAATATTAAAATTAGTCAATTAATTAACCAATTAGCTACCAATAACCTCAAACTATAGGGTGACCATTCACTAGGCCGTTTACTTTTTCGTTATCGTGACCTTCCAGTGATCGTTTATGTTTGTCGAGGCCATTGAATCATCTCAGCGGACGATAACATTTTTTTCTGGTCAATATCTTGAATCAGTTTCTGTCATTTTGAGCTTAAATTGGTTGAGTGTCAAGTGAATCACGAACATAAATTAACTGTGGTTGTTTTGGATGCGAAAATTTTAAATCAGTTAAGAAGTTTATAATCATCAGCTTCTGATGATTAACTGTGTATCCGTTACTCACCAATCATTTAATGAGATGCTCAAAGATTTTGGAGGAATAGTTTTTATTGAATTTACTCAACCTAATAATTTAGTTGATTGTGATGATGAAAATTATATTTACACCTACGAGTGTGTCTACGATTCGGGCAATGGTACTAAACGAAGGTCAACAATTCGCCGAATGATTAAATTAATCATAAGCATTTAGTGAGAATGACAATCAAATAAAATATTAAAAGCTGTCAACTAACCAGTTAATTAACCAGTTGAATATTTCATTTTGAAATGGTAATCACCAAATTAATTACTTTAACTGATTGTTATTTGATTATAAAAGTCTAATGGTGATTGTAATTGATCAGAATCAGAATCAGAATCGTAATGATTTGATTATATCAAGAAAATAACAATTAGCTGTTCAAACAAGTGATTACTGAAAATTCATTAGAAAATTAGATACTCTTTGTAAGCAAAATTTTCCAATTGTTTATTTAAGATCAACTTGATTGTAAAATTAATTAAAAAAAAGAAGCAAAAAAAAATGATAATTAAGATTCTGAAAATAATGAAATAAACAATTGAAAGGAAACTAATCAAATATCAATAATAACAATAATAATAATTCAATGGTTTGTTCAAATCGTCTATGATTTGTCAAAGATCAACTTACTAATTAAGAAGAAGAGCAACAATTAAGCTAATTGCGAAGAAAAAGAATAAAATTGTTCGCTTAATTTTCCCACCAAAACCGAAGAGAAAAAGAAAGAGGCGCTGTAGGCCTTAGTTTCTTTTCTTTCTTTTTGTCTGTCTGTTTGTCTCTTTCCAAGTTGAGTAAATTTTTTCTTCTTTTCTTATTAATTGTTTCCATCAACGGTAAAGATGATTAAATCATCTGTTTTACATTAATTACTGATTCTGTTAACTAATTACTTTATCTCTCTTAAAGTTTCTTCTCTCAATTGAGAAAACTAAATGTTTAATTTTACAGTTAATTATTTTTATCTTCTTGGTGGTAACAACAACAAATCTTCGCCTTCTCTTCATCAATTTCATATCATAACAACATAACTTGTTTTTCTTTTCCTATTCTTCATCATCATCATCATCATCATCTTTCATCTTTTACTCTCCTATCTTTTTGCCTTCTTTCGCGTAAAATTTATTCTACTCTTTTTTTTCTCTTCCTACGAGTTTATTTAGTACCTTTGGTTTTTTTCTTCGCCGTCTTTTTACTGTTCTTTTTGGAGAATTGACAACAAAAACAACAAAACATCAGAAAAATAGACAGAGAGAAACTTGGATAGATTTTTTCTCTTTTTTACTTTGTTCTATTCAATTTACTTTCTCCTCTTTCTTTTTTTGACTGTACCTCTCTTTCTACTCTTTTTTTCTCAAGGAAAATCTCTCTCTCTCTCTCTATCTCTATCTCTCTCTTTTCTTTTTCTTTATTGCTGTTGATTCAGCAGTGTTGAAATATTTGATACTTTATTCCTGCAAATCTAATCTGTAATCCTTTATGGTGATTTCGTCCTGGTGTTACGTCTGTTAACGAAAATCTCTGTTGATTGAGTAGTTGAATCACTATAACCATCTCATTACTACTTCTAAGCCTTGCAGAAGTTAGGTAATCATGAAAAGCAAACAGTTGAATAAATCATCGGTTACAATGAACTCAAATAAAAGTGAAGCTGATATTATAAGACGAGAAAAAGACATGGAATTATCTTCGGTTGGTGATCGTGTATATGCAGCAGAATGTATTCTAAAAAGACGATGTAGACATAAAAAAGTTCAATATCTTGTTAAATGGAAAGGATATTCACCTAGACACAATACCTGGGAACCTGAGGAAAACATATTGGATGAAAGGTTAATATTAGCCTTTGAGCAAGCTCAAAATGAAGGTTACAATTCTTCCTCGGGCCATCATCATCATCAGCAACAAACAACATCAAATTCATCGCATTTACACCATAATCATCATCACAACCATACACATAAAGATAAGAAAGAGGATAAAGAAAAGGATAAAAAGACAGCGACAACAACAACAGCAACCTCAATAATAGAAGAACCTAAAGAAAAGGAATCGAATAAACAATCAATTAGTAACAACAGAGTTACTAGTAACAGCATGGCGACTTCTACTTTGTCAACGCCATCATCAGTCACCAATTCTGGTAATTCTGCAAGTGCCCTCCCTCCCACAACCTCAACATCAGCCACAACAACAACGATTTCTGTGAACACAACAAGCAGCAAAAAATTATCAACCCCGGTAATTAGTAACGTTGGTACTAATAATAATATTGGATCTGGTGATGTCAATAATAGTAATAATGTTAATAAACTCGAGAAAGGACAAGAAAAGAAAAGTGAAGATAGAGAAAGACATAAGAGAAAATTATCTTCCGTTAGTAATCATAATAGTAGTAATAGTAGTGGTGTTGTTAATCATGTCACAAGTGAAAAAACTGTTCGAAATTGTTCACCTCCACCCGATTTTTGGAAGAAACAGAATAAACTTGTTGACCAGATTCTGATTACCGATGTTACCGCCAACGATATGACCATAACTGTCCGTGAATGTAAAACTTATCAAGGATTTTTCCGTGAAAGAACCAAGAAAAGTATCGCCGTGGCCACGGAACCTTCAGGTGTACCTTTACCACCGATCCGAGTCTCTCCTGGTAATCACCCAACAGTCATCAGTAAAAAAATCAACTCTATCAACAACACCAACAACCAATAAACACCAACTACCTAATAAATCACTAAATATAATCAACTAATCACCAAGAAAGTTATAAATTGAAACAAAACCAGATGAAAAAAATATATATACAAACACACAACTATAAATATATATTACAAAGACAAAACCATCGTAACAAAAGACGAAAGATTAACCAAAAGTGAGAAAACAATAGTGGGCCATTTGTTTATAATTAAAAACAAATTAAGACAAAAACACACATTTAAAGTGATCAATGGATTTGATTAAATTTGCATCTTCTTTTTATTGGACACTCGAAAACAAAATCATATTTATACATATGATGAGAGCTTCTGGTTGCGCTCACAATTAATTTATTGGATCCGTTAATCCCTTTAATTGCATGTAAATTACTACAATTAATTGTCTCTCCTCCTCTGTACCTAAATCTATACCAACACAAAGACTTAAGAGACACAACTTTAATTAATCAATTACCACCTTAATCAATTTTATTATATAATTTAATTTCTCCTTAATTGTAAACACACATCCAAACCAACTACTGGAAAAAAAAGATCACAAGTGATTTAAATGTAAAACAAAACAACAAAAAAATCCTAACAATTAGAAATTCACTTAACAATCAAATTAACTACCAAAGTTAATGTATTAGATAAAGAAACAAATATCAAATATCAAAAAAAAGCTCGGTGATTCCTAAGAATTAAAAAAATAAATTGTTATTCTTCTTATGAAAATCAAAGACTTGGTTTAATTTTTTTTCTATTAATTGTAAAGAACAATTGATTTTAATTAAACGTGAAAGAGAAGATCAATCAATTGGAATTCAGGTGATTTTTTACCCGCTTCTTTTTCCAGGTTACCTTTTGTTTGCCGAATCGCTTTGTGACCATTGGCCTGGAAATTTAACCGCCAATTTGATTGCGATGCGCAATCGAGGTTTAGATCAACATTTTCAGGTCGCTTTCGGTTAGATGACAATTTGATTGTCATTTAGAAATAAATGATTACATCGATATAACGATTGCAAAGTCAATTTTAATTTACATTCTCATTTTGTCTTCAATAAAATTAACAATTTGGCAGTGAGAGTTAAATATTAAGATATAATTTAAGTTACAAATGTATTTAAAGCTTAATTGTAAAAATAAATATTGTAAATAATTTTCAATTGGTGTTTATGTAGATTATCACAGAGATTGCTTTTGATTGGGTACAAAAAGTTATTGGACTAGAATGTGATTTGTATTAACATTAATTGTGAGCTTTTTGTTGAGTATCAGTTGGAAATAAATATCAGATGCTTGATTATGATTGTTGATTAATGGATAACAAAAAAAGCCAGATAATATATCTGAAGTTGATTGACAAATAGATGGGAAAAAAACTCTACGGATATAATTGTTTCCGTTTCTTCATTGCATTGGAACCTGAAATCGGATGAAATAGAGAAAACAAAATGGGAGATTAACATCTGATTATATTATTGATCAATTGTTTGAACTGATAATTAATCAGTTGAAGAAATTGTTTATATCATGTTGGTAAACGGCGGTGTTTTTTTAATAAAACTAATTCATAAATTGTATTTCATCATTTTACTAACTCGTCAAGAGTATCAATGCAAATGCTCACCTAGATCATCATGATAGACGGATAAGTTCACGGCCAGAAGTTGATTCCTGTTGAATGGTTCAAAATGAGAAATTAGATCATGTAAATTCAATGAATATGAGTTAATACGGTTAAATGATCAGTTGAAGAAATTGGTTAAAATCATATTGGTAAACGGCGGTTTTTTTTATTAAAAAAAACTCATATGTCCCTAACGGTTTTTCATCAAGTGTCAAGTTAATTTCATTAGATAGAGTAGTAAACTTACATGAAAATGTCCATTTGCATAGGAATATTGATTATCAATAGAATCTGTAATTTGGAAATCATTATCAATTAGATGACAGTGTGAATGATGTGAAACAAGAAGATGATTCAACTCATCAGTTATATCCAAAGAATGAGATCATTTTCATGATTTATGAGAAAAAAATAAATCAGCTACTATCTAGATTCATCAGTGTATCTAAAGAATCAGTAATTGAATTGGTAACTTACCGATAAAGTGAGCTAAGCAATTGAAACGATCGAAATCATAATTTTCTACTAAGATAAACCAGGAACTCAGAATCAGAAGGGTTTTCGTTGAGTAACAATGATGTGAATGGAATGATCTTGGTAAGTTTCTAAGTCATTCTCGTTTGCTCAAGACACGAAATTAATAATGGAGCTGCATAAGTAAAAGAATGTGGATGAATATTCAGCACCTTCGAATTGTATAAAAAAATGTGAATAGAAAAAAGAATGTATCATAACCCTGGCATCATAGATGAATAAAATGGTCATCGACGACATGTGTAGTCAAGACTCTTTCATATTGCATCCTTATTGCCTCGATAAGTAATAAAATTAACAAATCAAGGAGAGTGTAGGTGCCAAAGAGAGCAAGTCACATCAAATTAGAACGTACCATTTGGAATTGTAAAAACCAAACCATCCAGAGTAAATAATAGAAACAGCAATGAGGAAACTCTGAAGTAAAAAGAAATGAGTTGTTAGAAAGATGCGTGCTCAAACTTGTACGAAAATTAAAGTTCAAACATAGATGTCTAACTGGTTAATCTTGCAGAATAGGGAACGACATGGATGTCAGAATATAACAAACCAAGTAGCAAAATCTGCCTCTAGAAAGTAACCAATAGACGAAACAATCAAATTACCTGAAAAAATCCATCAAACTGAAATCAACCATGAACCAAAGTCTACATGAGATGAGATCTAAAATGGATAAAGTGTAAGAATCTCTTAGTGCCAATCTTTCAAATATAAGAAACAATCAGCGTGGAAAAAACTGATTACTCTAGCACAGTAAAGGAAAAGAATTAAATCAACAAAATTAAATTCTTTAACGAGTTTAACCATGCGGTAAACAAACCTCAGTGAGAAACTGAAACGAAAATAACTTACCACCAGAAAAAAAATCTATGGATCCACAATTGAACTGCACTGTTGAGAAATGAGAAACACAATTAAAAATGGGAAATAATAACCAAAAGAGTAGAAATGAAACTATTGGTCAGAAAATTCTAGAGTTAAAAAAATCATCAAGTTCATGGAAAATTTTATGTTTCATCATCAAACTGCAAAATCAAATAAAATCATCTCAATAATATTACCTTTTCGTTTTATTTTTAAGCACCAAAACAATGAAAAATTCCCAGTAAAAGGAGAATCAATATCATTGATCTCTCATCTTGGTCAATGACGACGATAAATTCTGAAATAAACATAAGTGTTAAATTAGAATTTCAAATTTTACATTGGTTACGAAGAGCATAATTGCTTTCAGATAGGGGCGAAATGGTCAATCATGCTTTATCAGCTGAACTAAATTCAATCATCATTGTGATCACAATAATTTCACCATCAAATACGAGCTCTTACCTTTTCCCATTTTCTTAATTTCTCCCGTTCCAATCGCCAAAACGATGATTTCTAGATAATTTCAAAAGACCGAAATTGATTTGAGAAAATACATTCGTGTATAATTGATTTGGATAATCAGATTCCACGTTAAGGAAGTCAGATAGGGCTAGGTAGTCGTCATTAGGATAAGATAGACTAATTCAATCATCATTGTATCCAAATAGAAAGAAAATATTTCCAACCAAATAATGTAGACTTACCATTGAATTAATTCTGTAAATTAATAAAAAGAGAGGAATACAAATTAGATGAGAAATAGAATTTACAATTTCTAATCAATTACTCTGGTCAGAAAACGTGGGTGAAACGAAGGTTATCCATCACTATTGAATCAGTGTGGTGCATGATATCTCATCATATTAGAGTAATTAACCTTGAGATAATTAAAGGATTAAGACTTACCAATTGCATCATAAAGAGCCACGTGGTTTAAGCTTCTTTTGTACTTAGGGTAATGATTTAATTGCTTGAGCGAAAGATTCTAAAACTTTGACTGAAAAATAGTAAACTGGACCATGTTTTGAAGCTTTTGTTTTGTGGATGAATTAAATCAGTATCATCACATCAGAATTAACCAGAGTCGAAATTACAGGTGTTTGTTGTATCGATCTTAATGAAGATAATGAAGTTACTGAGGACGATTGAGATCCGGTAAGTGATCGAGATCGATGAAGTGACCTTGGAGAATCTTCTTCTGATTTTGATGATCGTCTCGATGAATTGTAATCTGGTGATCGATTTGATGATCGAGATGGAGAATTTGGTGGTGAATCGAAGTCATAATCTTGGGCATCGTATCTTCTTGGATATCGTGGTCAGTATCCACGAATCCACGACCTCATATATCTGCGGTGTACCTCGTGGTCGCCTTGCATCGTTTGACTCTTTAAACTGTTCACTAGATCTTGTCGAATATTTCCAACATTTCCATCGGAAAGTTTAATCGAATCTCGATGCTTATCCAATACGCTATCGATTTCTGCGAAATATATCTTCATCTTCACTTTCCGCGATCTTTGGAAGTGACTTTCGGCGTTCACTTTCACCTATTAGCACCGAATTAAAATCCGAAAAAAAAACATTCGAAATAATTTAAACTTGTAAAATGAAGACATCAATCAAGAATCAAGTAAATCAGTTAATGATTCGACAATTTGTTTAATTTTCTTAGGCTAAAATTGAAGTTACTCTCTTACTACCTTTCTTTCTCTCTCTCTCTACTCTTTTACTCTATAGTAATATTTTTCGTTTTTTCTTTTGTTTCGATTTTGTTTACTGTTAACTTCATTTACGATGAAGGAGATAAGTGTCTTGACCACTTGGGTAAAAGGTCAGTGTGACGAATGATGCCTCATCGTATATTAATGAGTAATAGAGTAGCACTAAGACAATGAAAAGATCTAAAACCGAAAACACTTACCCATTGAATCATAGTCTTAAACGCGAACCACGTGGTTACAGATCAAGCATGTTAAACCTTTCAAGAGAAGATTAAAATGGTGGAGACAATTAGAAAAAAAGAAGATAAAATCTAAATGCTTAAAGTAATTAAACTAAACTCAGTTCAACTTGTTAAAGTAATCACAGAAATCATCTTAACGAGATATAATGTCATCAAAGAAAAACTGAAGCAAAAAATAACATGAACAATAAGAACTCACCTTTTCAATAAAAATTGAATTGGACATTTAATCAACCATAGCTTGATAAAAATTCTGTGAGATGATTAAGATGGAAAAATAAATTAATCATGATGCAGTACAAAAGTACCAGTACAGGAAACACAAAAGAGACTCAATTTGTGTGAATCACTCAGAGTAAACCAAAAAATTTAGAAATCGATCAATTTCCAATGAATCAACGTTATCATCTAAATTGAACTTTCAATTATTAAAAAAGGAACAATCAAGACAATTAACTAGTTAATTATAACAATTAGAAAACAACATGGAATCAAGTTGACCTCATGTTCGGAAATGGATGAAAACAAAACCAAATCCGGAAAAAGAAAAAGAGAAAAATGGAAGCGCCATCTTGTTGTAGAAAAAGAAACTGAGAAAAGTATTTCCAAATTCAATTAACCTGTGGAAAGAACTCAATTTAAATCAACTACAATTACGATTACAGAACTTAATTAATGGCTTTCGATGTATAATAGATAATCAATTTTTGAATGAAAAGTTCTGCAGAATAGGAAAATAGGCAAGGTCGACAGAGAGCAAAAAGCAAGAGTAACTTGAAAAAGTGAATGAAAATCTGATAATCAATAGTTGTAACTTAATAATTAAATGATTAGTAAATTACTGTGACAATGAAAGGAATTAGCAAATTAGCAATTAGGAAAATACCTCAATATTTGAACAACATGCTTCTATTTTGAGAGATTTAATGAATGAGCAACTTTAATTCACTCAACCTAATAATTAATCTGTCAAAATCAAGATCACAATTAGATTCAACAAAGAGTTGGGATTGTGAAGATGATTAGTAAATTGTATTATAAATTATCTAGTTTACTATTGATTCTAATCAGATTAATCGGAGATTCTGTTCAGACTAAGTAAATTAATTTCAAAATTCATGAAAATTTGCCTTCTCCAGTGGATTATAATTAAATCATGTTTTTCTCAATTGTGTCAACTATTGATTTCTGTCTAATCTCATCAGTGCTGTTTAATTTATATTGTTTCAAGACAACAATTAATAATCCTAAGCCTAAGTTAACATCTTTTACTGTCCATCAAAAATTTAATCAACAGATTGAGCCAACAATCAACAAATTTGATAATCTAACAAACACTCAGGAATGGATTGAATTCAATACTGGATTCACAGTGAGACCAACAATTAATCACAATCAAAGTAACATCAATAAATCGGATCGGATTGAAAATCTATCAACGAAAGAAACGATTAAAGAATCAAAGATAATTTCATTGATTAAACCTGCTAATTAATTTGATCAACTGGGAATTTTGTTTCATCACCAAAATCACCATCAGATTAATCGTTAAATTATGATTGTTTTTTTTACGAATTTAAATTATTTGTAATCTCTACTACACACATACAAAATGTAAAAGGTTAATTGTTGCTAATTAAATTTTCTCTGCATTAAAATTAAATTTCTATTTTCTTCAATAGCTCAATCGATCAGCCTCAAAGAATTGATTGATTTGATGTAATTGAATAGCGATTATGTTTGGGGAATTAGGGAAGTATGATGAAGGTGAATGGAAATTGGTAAAAGTTAATCAGGAACGTAATTAAATCTCAATCAATCAAAGACAAAATTTCTAAACGTTTACAATTTGGATTAGATTTTTTCATTTGATTGTTGATAATTTAAACGATCATATTGTCTTTTCATGACATTGAATTGGTACGATATTATTGTAATTTTAAATTCCCACAGATTAAGTTAATCAAACGTGAGATATTGATTTGACTCTTTTTCGTTTGAAATATAATAACTGGAATTAAGATGATGATTTACAATTAAGGAGGTGTGATTGCAAGCGAACTGTGGATTTTATCATTTGACTTTAAAAAGGTTGATTGTAAAGTTTTGGGTTTTTTTTCATTTTCTGTCTTGAATGAATGTAGAATAGAAAAATATAATCAAATTGATCTATACTCAAAATCTCAATCAAATTAAAATGTGAGATATGTTTGTTTGTAGATTTTTTTTGGTTTACCTGTTAAGAATGAGATAATAGTTTAGACGCTTACTTAATCTGCTATTTCCTTTGATGGGATTTTCATCAGCTTTTACCGAAATCGTTGGGTCATCATCGTATCATTTATATCATATGATCATTTTTTTATTTTTTTTGGGATAAATCTTGGGATGAGTTGCATGGATTCAAAAAACGTCAATTTTCTCAACTTAAATTATGATTAGATGATTTTTTCATTTTCCTAGTCCTATTTTCTTGGCTTCGATTTCATAAATTAATAGTCTCCACATTTTGACCACAAACACTTCAGCTTCATCGTCAAGAACCATGGCAACTTCATCCAATATACCTTGAGCTGAAGTTTTGGTTTGAAGTTTAGTACAAATAAAATCCAAAAGTGCTTGTTCCTCTTCACCAATATATTCAGTTATCTTTTTGTTAACCCAAGGGCGAATACGTTTTTCCATTAAATTTTGATCAACCAGTGTCCAGTCAATTGTATATTGAAATAGATCATCTTTTGTAGTTGGAATTTTTTCAATTAACGATTTAACTTGCTTCTTTTTCTCCTCTGTTGATAAATTGATTTTAGCACCATTTTCACCAACGTTTAAAGAAGCTGCTGACTTATTGGTACCACTTAATAAACTTTGGTTACTATCGGTGTTATCATCGGTTAATTGGGGCAGCTTACGCTTTTTGATCCTACTTGAATTATCATCGTCATCGTTTGAATTGAAAACATCTTGCACGGAGAATTTCTTTCTCTTTTCACCATTTGATCCTGGATTAGAGTTTTCACCAGAAGGACTAATGAGAATCGGATTTGCAGGTTGTTTGGGTCCATGGCCCATCTTATTAATACCGGTGAATGTGAACGATTTAACATGCATTTCACTTCGACTGGTGTTTTCAGAGAGACCAGAGAGACTATTTTCATCATCAGCCTTCTTTCCTTTTACTTTAATATCACCGTCTGAGAGCTCACCTACTTTGTTGTTGACTATTTTATCTCGATCTCTATTATTATCACAAGAATTGAGACGTTTTTGAGCTTCACTCTCAGGGTCAGGGTGACCTTCTTCGATTAATTTACGACGAAGCTCTTCCAGTTCACGTTTCTCTTGTCGGCGATCTCGAACGTCGTCTTCCTTTTCCTTTTCTCGTTCTCGTAATCTACGAGATAGAGCACTGCCTCTGTACATAGAAAAATAATGGGATTAACTTGAAGTTCAAAGAAAAAATTAAAGTCTAATTTACTTACTTGTAATATTTTGCATCGTCACGATCGTCATCATAATCTTCAAGGAATTGTTTCAATTTACGAACTTCTTTGACTTCTTCTTCTTTTCTCATTTCTTGTTTCATTTCGTATTTTTTATAATCTTTGAGTTTTCGCATTTCTCTCGCTTCCCAGTTCCTTAATCGCTTTTGGTAAGAAGCCTCTTTATCTCTTAATTTTCTGTCAAGGCGACGTCTTTCTTGAAGTTCTTCGTCATCTTCAATTATCCTTTCATTATGTGCATTCTCTTCTTCTCTGCGACGCTCCATGTCCCGTTCACGCTCACGTTCTCGTTCACGATCCCGATCACGTTGTTCACGATCTCGTTCTCGTTCCTGTTCTCGATCTCTATCACGTTCACGCTCTCTGTCCCGGTCTCGATCATTTCTGGACATGCGATCACCACGTTCATTTCTTTCTCTATCATACCGATCACGGTTACGAGATCTGGATTCTTTAGACATCGGGGTTCTTTCTTTTTGTTTCTCTCTACGGGAATTTGCTGAATCCACTTCAACTGATCTTTCACGAGAATATCGATCATCTGAACGTGAATCGTTTTGATCATCAAGTCGTCTAGAGTCAGAACCAGATTTGGACTCTTTCGTTTCTCGTTCAGATGTTTTCTTTTCCTTCTCAGCGATCTTGTAGGTATCTCTGAACTTATCAATTTCTCTATGAATTAGTGATCTTTTTTCTTCTTCCATGTCCATATCGGCTAAATTTTCAGGCTTTGCAGGTTCTCCAGTTCGTTTATCGTAGCGTCGAGACTGTGCTTTATTTGGATCAGGATCACGAGATAATTCAATTTCATGCTCTTTAAGGATTCCATGCAAATGATACAATAATTCTTTATCTTCGGCAATAGTTTCAGGGTCACCTTCTCCATTGGAATTACTCCCTTTTGGACTCTTTTCTTTCAAATAATTGTCTAATTTTTCTTGTGTCTTTGCATCAGCTTTGACCACTAATTTTTTGTCAGCGACTTCAAAATCATGAAGTAGTCTAATGGCTTTCATTGCTGATTCTGGATCTGCATATTCACAAAATCCAAACGCTTGAAGTTTACCATTAGCTCCTTGCACTCGTTTCCAATTGATTACAGCTCCACATTTGGATAATAATTGACGTATCAACATATCTGACGCTCTTTCAGTTATATTACCAACAAAAACAGTTATACTCGGCCCATTTGACACTGGCCTATGTTTGTTCATAGAATTAGATGAATTATTATGATGATGGTGATGATGATGATGAGACATTGAAGAGCCACTTAAAGATTTAGATGAATTCATAGACCCTGTAGATACAACACCAGTAACAGCACCTACACCTGCAGAGGTTGGAGCCAAAGGCTTTAAAAGGAATGAAAGCGTGGAGATAATGATAGAAAAAAAACAATTAAATGGTGATGAAAAATATTAATTAATAATTACTAAATGCACACATACCGGAAAAATGAATGGGGATGTAATAGGTAATTGATTTACCCCAAGAATAGGAGGTGTATCCTGGGTCACTTTTCTCATTGGTGGTGCAGAAATGGTTGTTACACCGGGTGGGGCAGAAGCGGTCATCTACAAAAAATAACAAAATAACAAAAATAAATTAAAAAATTAAAAATTAATAAAAAACCAGCACCAATCAGAGGCAATGATCAAATCATAAATTTAACTTACATGAGGAATTTGTAAACCAGGGACCATAGGCATTTGCATGATACCACCTGAAATTGAAAGAAAGGAAATAAAAACCATTAAAAAAATTTAATTGATTATTAATTTTGAAGAAAATTATAAAAAAAAACTATACTTACTCATTGGCGTCATTTGATATTGATTAGGAGTTAAATTCATTAGAGATGCCATTGCTGAAAGATTTGACAAAAAGTGATTGGGAGGTGGAAAAGACATTTTTTACCAATAATTGTGGGTCCAAATATTCACAAATATAAGAAATATAAGATGCAGATAATAATGGTACTTCTTTATACAAAAACAAAACAAACAAACACCAAGGACCTAATTAGACACAAGATCAATTGTTAACCAAAAACCTCAACAACCAAGAGAAACACTCAGCCATTTTGATTGGTTGCTAGGCAACGACTCGTTCACTTTAATGAGATCATTTTTGTCCAAAATTTTTACCGCCAAATTTGAACTCTGAAAAAAAATTATTTCTTATTAATTAATTTTATTTTATTTGTTAATGTTATCCAATCAGATAATTGATATCTAAATTACTATTGAAAGAACATTAATTTTGCAAAATGAAAAAAGGAAATTGTAATTTGGTTTTTTATTATTAATGGAAAATCGTACATGCCTTGATGTTAATTAATCATCCAATTGGACTTTGGCTATTGATGGAATTCAATTTGATTTAATTGTTGTTGGATGTCTCTAAAATACTATCCAAAGATCATTGTTTATTATTAAAGTTAAAAAATAGTGAAAATTTGCATTAATGGATATTTTTCTTCTTAGTGTTAATAATGAATAAAATATAAAAACTAATTATAAAATTATAATTGTTGATTATTTGCATTAAATTTTGCGAAAAATTAATCCATATGAAAAGAAAAATTAACACTAAATATTGGAAATTAGAAAAATTTGGCAATTGGAAAATTAATAAAAGGTTAACTAGATAGAATTTGTGATTTCTTTTTTGAAATTGGACAATTTATTAAATTGAGATAATCTGACTAAATTAAATTTGATTTACTAATATGTAGAAAATGTAAACAAATATTTGATTAAAGAGCAGGTCCTTCAACTAATTAGATTTTCGAAGTAAAATACCTTTTCTATTGTAACAATCACCCTTAATAATAATTATAATTCACCTGATGTCTGATCTTTAAAGGTAGAATAAGGTAATATCTTCTCATAGTTGAGTAAGCAACATGGGAAGCCCAGTAAATGTCGATCTCATCTGAAACCTTATCAATGAAATAATAGAGATGAGGAAGAGAAAAAGGAAGAAAAAAGTTAAATCTCTTTTTCATTATAATAATAAAATAATTAGAACAGAAAAAATTATTCCAATACTAATATTATGTAACTTATTTGTCTCAACTATTTGGATTTGATTCAAATAGAAAAAAAGCTAATCACTAATCCTAATAGTTCAAAGTGAAAATTAAATAGGAGAAGAAATGAAAAAAAATGTTCTCCTATTGTGTTTTATTTTTGGAGAAAAAAAAATCAAAAATTGCGGTTCCTTTTCTCGACTAACTGAGCACTTCAGGTCTCCAGGTAACCCCAAGCCCAAGTCTCTCTTTTTGCTTAAGGTTGAAAGTAGAGAGATGGGCGATTAGTGAGATTGCAAGTAATCGAAAATTATCAATGAATTAAGAGTCAACCGATCAATCGATTGGCAAAGTGCGAAAGAGAAAAGATAAAGAGGGAAATTGAAAGACCAAATGAAAGGGAAAATGGGAAGGGTAAAAGAGAGAGAAAGATTAAAGAAAGAAAAAAGAAAGAGGTATTTAGATAATCGATTTTTTGAGCGAATAATCGACGAAGAGTTTCCATTGACTAATCGATTAATTAATCGGTAATCGAACTACTCGCCCATCTCTAGTTGAAAGAGAGAGAAAATTAAATGTTTGTTTTTTATTAATCTTAATAATCAATTGTTTTTTAATTAATTAATTTGTTTAACTTCACTGGATCCTCTTTCTTTCCTGTGGACAATTTTAATTCATTATCTCAACTCGTCTAAGTTTTATTCCTTTAGTGTTTTGTCAATCATCTCTCTCGCTTCTCTCTGTCTACTCCTCTCTCTCTCTCTCTCTCTCAGTCTCTCTCTACCTCTCTCTGTCTCTCCTGTTTGTCAATCATCTCTCTCTCTCTCTCTCTATCTTTCTTTTGCCTTTTCTAGTTTTTCTTTATTCTGTTTTAAATGATTAACTGTGTTGTTTTATTTTCAATAATCCCATCAAAGCTCATTCTAGTCTTATTTAGACTTTAAACTATTGCATCTCATTCATTGACCATCTTTTAGTGTTTATCTTGATTCGCTATCATCTCTTACTTTTTACTTTCCTATTTCTCTATCTCTCATTTTTTTCTCTTCTCTATTGTATCATTTCTTTCATTTTGTTTCTCTTCTTCTTCTCTCCTCTCTTACCCATTTCTCTGTTACTGGTCTCTCAAAAGCTTTCCTCTCACTCTTTCACTCTCTCTTACTCTCTCTTTCTTTCTCATCTCTATCATTTCCAATCTTCACAAGCCAAAATTGGATCCATCTTTTCCAGAATGGCCTGCTGTCTGTCAGAGGAGGCCAAGGAACAGCGAAGAATCAATAACGAAATTGAACGACAGTTGAGAAAAGACAAGAGGGACTCCAGACGTGAGTTGAAACTACTGCTTTTAGGTACCGGAGAGTCTGGTAAAAGTACCTTCATCAAGCAAATGAGGATTATCCATGGAAGCGGATACTCCGATGAAGACAAGAGAGGATTTATTAAACTTGTCTTCCAGAATATTTTCATGGCTATCCAAAGCATGATTAAAGCCATGGATATGCTGTGTATCCAATACAAGGATCCAAGAAATAAAGTAAGTGTTAAAACATTAACTATTAAGAAAATTTCTTGTTTCTGTTATGTGTTTTATGTGCAACTCAATTCCCATCATCACCATCTTCATTACAACCATCGTCTTCATCTTCATCTATTTCTACTGCTGTGTTTTTTTCCTCACTCAGTCTCCCTCCCTCTTTCTATCTTTCTCTCCCTCCCTTTCTCTCTTAATATTTCCCTTTGCTCTCCTTCTCTCTTTCTGTTGATCATCAAAGTGAACTAATTAAAAACTAATCTATCATCAACATGATAATCATCACTGCACCATCACACCACCCGTAACCCTCCCTTAATCATCTATCTCTCTCTCTCTCTCTCTCTCTCATTCAATGGTCAAGGAAAAGATGAAAAGGAATTGATTAACCTAGAAAACTGAGAAAAATCAGAAAAAGTGATTCAAGAAGAAAAAGAAAATAAAAAATTATTGTTGATTATAGTGAAATAATAAAGATAAAAAGGTTGATGAGAGGAGCTGAAGATGAAGAAATAAGAAAGGAGAGAAGAAAAGTTGCACTATGGACCTTTACAGAGAATCTTTTATTTCCACAGATAACAGTGTTAGCTTCGGATTATCTCTTACATATTGAATTTATACTAATTCTTTTTTTTTCTCTTCCATTTTTCAGGAAAATGCCGAATTGGTCCGATCAGTTGATTATGAAACTGTTACATCATTTGAACCCCCTTATGTCGAAGCTATTAAAAGTTTATGGGTTGATCCTGGTATCCAGGAATGTTATGATAGAAGAAGGGAATACCAATTAACCGACTCTGCCAAATAGTGAGTTCATAAGGATTCATTTTCCTTTGGACAATCAATCTAATCATCTGTTCTCTTTTTTCTCTATCTCTCTCTCTCTCCCTCTCCCTCTCTCTCTATGTTTTCCTCTTTCACTTTTCATCACCTTTGTCTCTCCCCCGCCTCTCTACTTTTCTCTCCAGCTATCTAAGCGATATTGATAGGATCGCTGCTCCAGATTATTTACCCACCCAACAGGATATACTCCGAGTTCGGGTACCAACTACGGGTATCATTGAATACCCATTCGACTTAGACTCTATCATTTTCAGGTAAATGTTTAGTATTGACTATTGATTCACTTAATCTCTCCTTTTCAACCAGTCTTCAATTAATCCACTGATTAATTGTTGACTATTAAACCATCACGATTCAATGAAATGCAATCTTCACTCTCTTTGACTTGAAAAGGAGGAAAAGTGAATAATCAGTTGTCAATTTTTGTTTCACTACAATTCATAAAAAAAACATAATGACTAATTATTTTCTCTTTTCTCTTTTTGTTTTCATTAATTTCATGACCAATCTTCTAAAACAGGATGGTAGACGTAGGTGGCCAAAGGTCCGAGAGACGAAAATGGATCCACTGCTTTGAGAACGTCACCTCAATTATTTTTCTGGTTGCCTTATCCGAGTACGACCAGATTTTATTCGAGTCAGATAACGAGGTGAATCGTATGGAGGAAAGCAAAGCGTTATTTAAAACGATAATAACGTATCCATGGTTCCAGAATTCCTCAGTGATTCTATTTCTTAACAAAAAGGATTTGCTAGATGAAAAAATAATGCATTCTCATCTTGTCGACTATTTTCCAGAATATGATGGCCCAAAGAAAGATGCAATTCATGCTCGGGAGTTCATTCTGAAGATGTTCGTCGATCTGAACCCCGACAGCGAAAAAATTATTTACTCTCATTTCACATGTGCCACGGACACGGAGAACATTCGTTTCGTGTTTGCTGCAGTAAAAGACACTATATTGCAGCTAAACTTAAAAGAATACAATTTGGTGTAGCCAGTATTAAAAAATTTCTTCCTTTTCCCATTAAATAAGAATTTAATAAATACCATTCTTGAATTTACCATCGATCGTTTCATCAATTATTTCGCGCAAAAATCAACCAATTTTTACGAACGAAAATCAAAAGAAGCGCCAGAGTGAAAAGAGAATCTTTTCTTCATGGTTGCTTAGTGATTCTCATGAGCTGCTTTTTGGAAAATTTTATTTTTCGACAATTCAATTTCTATGAGAATCAAGTTGATTATTATTCCAAATTAGTTAATTAGTTTAAACAGAATTTTCATCATGAGTAGTTCGACAGCTGAAAAAGCCTTACGTTTGCTGAAGTTTATGCCCAGAGTGACGACAATTAACTCTACGGTTTCACCTTTAACACCAAAAAGAGTAAGATAATTGTTATGTTTTCATTTTGTTTTGGTTTTTGTTACCTTTTATTAACAGTTTAATTATTTCTTGTTTTAAATTTTTTATTTATGATTAAAAGGCGAGGAAGCTTCAAGGACAATATGCCAGAGGTGGACGAATGAAATTTCTCAACAAATCTTTTCACCAAAGGCAGAGATTCGAGCCAGCAGGATTTGTTGATGATCCCAAATCATCATCACTCTGGTTTGAGAAAGTTCCAGTCAAAGATTATTATAAAGATGTATTGTAAGTTGATTTTCTCTAGTTAATCAACACAATCTCACCATTTAATTTTTATTTCACTTTCATTTAGACATCGAAGATCATATCCACCATGTTCTTTATATTCAATCCAATTGTCCATTGATTTGGATTATCTTAATCCAAATGAGCCGATTGATTTAACAACACTTTGTCGAGATGTATTTCTCAATGTGAACACGGACATTAATGATTATGGTACTCAATTAACTAACCTTGGTCAGGATATTTTCAGTGCTCAGATAAACATCGAGGTTCAATATGCAAGCGAAGAAGTGATTGCTGCCATCGAGAGGAACGGAGGAGTAATAACCACCGCTTTTTACGACATTAAAAGTGTCATGGCTCTGACCAATCCAACGAAATTTTTCAGCAGAGGTAATTAATTAACACATTAATCAATAATGGTTCATAAATAAACAAGAATTTTTCTCTTCATTAAGGTGAACCTATTCCAAAGCGATTACTTCCACCTCCTGATTGTATTGATTACTATACAAACCCTGTGAATCGCGGTTACCTTGCAGATCCCGATGCGATTGCCGAAGAGAGATTAAAATTAGCCCAGAAATACGGATATACTTTACCTGATTTATCGAAAGATCCGAAAGTAAGTTATTCTTTAATTTGTCAATGAAAAAATCAATCTAACATCAATGATCATTTCTAATTATCTACAGTTTAAAATGCTTTCTCTTCGGAAAGATCCTCAACAAATTTTCTATGGACTAGAACCTGGTTGGGTTGTGAATCTTAAAGACAAGCAAATTATGAGGCCAATCAAAAATAACTTGTGAAATTTAACAAAATTTATTCATTAATTAATTTAAGATATGATCTGAACTGCCATCTAAAGATTAAAAATTAATTTAAGAAATTTAAGTCATCGATTTTGTTCATAAATTAAACAGTCTTAAAATAAATTAAACAAACCATTCATTGGTCAATTGATTAATTAGTGTAAATTTAAGAATAATCTTAAATTCTAATAATCTTAGATATTAAAAGATCAAAATAAGACTTAATCAGAATAATATGTGTAGAATCATGTAATATTTAGAAATTAAACTTAAGAGTTGTTAATAGCTAATTTTTGGTGATATTTGGGATAAAATTATTTTTGTTTTTATAATTCGATTTAATCGAAAATCCTGATTGCGAAGATCATTACATCTCCAAGTCCATTAAGAAATTTCTTTATCGCTGGTTTTTTCTTTCGGTCGTATACTTGGTCATTGGATGGTGAAGATGAAGGTGATGATGAAGATGATGATGACTTTTTTGATGAATTTGGCGTAGGTTTGGGTGAAGATCAATTGATTTAGATGTGGTACTGTAAGTAGATTTAGTGTTTGGTTTAGTCCATTTTCGTTTCATGTCCAGTCCAAGTTCCGACAGATGAGGAGGAAGTTTAGTCTCTGGATCAAGAAGCTTCGACTGGAGATAATTTTTATCAGTTTCTGTCAAAATGTCCGAGGCAAATGGACCTCGCATGAAGACCATTAAAGGCAATGTCAAGTAGCGAACTGAATAAATTGCATCACCAAGAAGAAGCATCTTATTGGTCCCATTGATCTCAATCAATTGTCGCTGACACTCACAGACCGACCATCTTTCGATTGCTTGGAAAGCGATTAATTCACTTGACAATTTCAACGAATCTCGCTTTAATATCTTTATTAAAAGATCACGATCAATACTACAAATAGCTTCTGAAGAGAAAATTGTCTCAGCAAATTCATCCAAAATACAATAACATTTAGAGATCAACTCATTAACCAAATTTTGTATCATCTCATCTGATCCGGTTACATGATTGTGTTTGATTTGGTGATAATTGTGATAATTGTGATTAACATCACCAAATGAAGGGAATGGTTGTTGACCTTCAGTACTGAGGCAAATGACACTGGTTATTGACGATGATCTGGTCACTCTTGGTCCATGAGAATCATCACCGTCACCAACATTATCTTCACCATTCTCACAATCGATTAAATTGTTATTATAATCCTTGTTGATTGTTACCAATGAGTTCGAGGCGACCTTTGAACGGTTGCTTCGTTTCTTATGTGTTGATTGGAAAGGTTTAAAATCAATCTTTCTCAATGAATCCAATATGACGAGAACATTAAATTCAGTTGAGTTTTTACACAGAAATTGCAAACAAATGCTGGTCAAGTCGGTCAACAACTCGTCACACTGTTCAAAATGATCTCTTTCTTATAAATGTAGCTAATGGAGATTAAAGAAAAGAAGAAGAGGAAAAGATAATCATTAGAATTGATGATATTGGAAGACAAGAGATGATGAATACGAATTGACACCAACAATAATAATAAAGAAAAAGGTAAGAAACTGATCTTGGTTTTACATTTGATATTTGAAAAAAGTCTAAAAGTAACAGGAGATCATGGAAACAATTAAACTCACCTCATCAAATTATGTAGTGTTTCAGGTCTGCATTGGATATTGATGATTGGTTTTCTATCACTTGATGACCTTTGAAGTTGGTCAATTTGGTAAACAATATCTTTAAAGATCGGACTTGAATCTTTGATTATGAACGAGTGACCAGGAAACTTAAGGTTATCCTCATCTTCAGCCGAGTCCATTGTTACGATGAAGATAAGATCACTTTGATCTTCACTGTTGAATAAAACCAAACCAGGACTTGGAGCGGACGGAGCACCAGCTTCGGAGGACCAATTGTTAACATGATTCTCGTTCAGATCAACATTACAATTTAAATTGTTGATAATTTTATCGGTCGACGATGAGGCAGAAAAAGGTGAATCTAAATCATTACTGAGATTAATCATATTATCCTCCATTATGAGTTCATTTAAACACTAATAACAAGTTACTGATAAATTTTTCACTACAACTAATTGGAATTGTTGTTTACAATTAAGTTGATAATTAAGAAGATGATGATGATGATGATGATTTCCAGAGAATTTTTTCAAAAACAAACTGGAAGATGTTGGAGGTAAAAGAGTTGAAAGAATAATTTCTCTCTTCCTTTGGATAGATGTTGATGATAATGATGATAAGAGAGAGAGACTTGACTCCCGAAATCAATAACTAAAAGGAAAGAGAGAAGGAGAGGAAGAGAAAGAGAAGGAGAGAGAAAATGAAAGTGAGTAAACAATTAGATTTTGTGAGAAATAATCAAAGTTAATTGCTAACTCATTTTCAACTAGAAACTAATAAAGATTCAAATTGATAGGGAATAGAAAAACTTTTCAGGCCAATTAGCGAGCGATCAATCAACACTCAGATTACATTTATAATATTTTCTTTTTCTTAATCAATTGTTAATCAAGTAAAAGATGAACATTAGCGGTCATACCTCAGTTAATTAACAATAGAAATTGACTAACAATTAATAAAGTGATCACATCTTTGCAGATCAACTAATTGAAATAAGTTCATTCTGATTCTGAGCAACAATCTCAAGGTGATGATATTTTGGGTTTTCAAGATTAAGATTATTTTTTGTTTTTCTTGTGATTAATCTCGAGGTTAATTGTGATCATTAAGTTATTTATGGATCTAATTTGGTTAATTGTCAATTTTTAAATTGTTAAGATTATCACAATTAGTGAAAGTTTTGTATTGGAAAATATTATGATGCAAATAAAATCAATCATTTAGGAAAATCAAGGTTACAAATTAATTAGTATTTTTAGCTTTTTCATTTTCACCTAAAAAACCTAATTGTTATTTAGAATAATTAGTAAATCAACTAATAAATTGTGGATAAAATTCTTAACCCAAACCATTAAATGATTTACTGGTTTAATTAACTGTAACACTTAACTTTGATTAACCTGTTGTAATAGAGTTAGAAAAGTTGGAAAAATCTGACTGATCATTTATTTACTATTAATTAATTAGGAAAAAAATTACTAGAAAAATGATTAACAATCAAATCAAGAAAAGCAAAAAGAGTCTTGTAATTGTGTGAATTGATATTAATTGTAACCATTTTGATAGTTATTATTATTGAAACAAATTGATTAGATTGAAGATTTTTGATCTGTAAATCACATTGAACATTTAATCATTTAATCATTTTCTCATAAATTATGTGAATTATTGATTGTGATCAATTTCTTGCTTGTTAATTGATCAAACTACAGAAACTTTAGATTCTATTAAATTAATGTCATCAAGTTACACCGACAATGTTATCAATCAATTTTAACCTCAATGAATCCTAATTCTTGGTAGATTATCAATAATTTGATAATTCAATTGATATAATCTCATGTAAACATCAAATTAGCACTGATTGTTATCAAATTAACAAAATTAGAAGAGAATCAAACAAATACGAACCTTGATCGTTTATCCAAGATTAATGATGAAGATGAAGATGATCACAATAAAACAAAACACGATTGGAATAAAACTGTTGAGAAATAAATTGTTGTCTAAATGCGAAACATGATAACAATTAATTGAAATAAATTAAAGTACAAATAGTGAACACGAACCCTTCGTTAGTAAACAGGGTTAAAGTTCACTTTAAATCACTTTGTGGCCACAGGTCAATAGACGATCTTTGTGAGAAACAGAAAATTAATCAATTTGATCGGCAAATAACACAACAATTTATATTATTGATTTGATGAACTGTAATTGTTTTTCTGGTTAAGCCTTTAGATTCTCGAGATTCACAACAAATTCAAAAATTGACCAAAAAGTGAACAAAAACAATTAACAGGTTAACATGATAAATATTGGGTTTATCGTATTTTCTGTGGATGATTTTGATTCTTATGGTAATTTGATTGATGAAATTTCACATTAATTAAATTTAATTGCAATCACAAAGGTTAGTTGCTCATCAATAACCAAACAATCACAAATCTAAAGGTTAATTAAAAGTAAGGATTAGTTGAACACAGAGAGGAAAATGAGTAAATCGAGGACGAATCTTAAAATATATTAAAGACATTTCCTGGTGAAATTGTAACAACCAACTCATCATTTTCATTTTCATCTTATTAATCTAATTGCGCACGATCCTTTGAACATTTCGATCGATAATCTTACAGCCACTACACATAATCAACTCTCTGGTTCCTTTATTTGAAACACACCCTGTGACTCAATTTTCTCTTCTCGCTCTCACTCATTGAAAACTCGATCTTTTTGAATCTAACTAATTCTACTAGTTTGAGTCATTAGCAACTATAATAATGCGATTATTTGACTAGATGCCAAGAGTAACAATTAAACTGCTTTCCTTCCCTGTCTTAACCACCGCCTGATTTATAACACCAAAGCCACTTAAACTTGATAAGCATTACAATAACTACATGAATTGAAACTTGGAATTTCAAATTGTTAGAACGCCTAAAGCTATGTAATGTCTATTTCCATATCTTAAGTTTTACGACCCCGATAGCCTATCAGCGAGCTATTAAATTTAATAATAATAATAATAATAAATAATAGTTATTAAATTTAAGATTTTGTGAAAAATTGTTCTAATTAGATTTAATTAAGGAATCCAATGGATTTAACTTGATTCTAATAATCAAAATTCTATGCTTGTTTGATTAACCGCAATTTCGGACCCAAAATTTAAGCCAAACTATTGTTGATTAAACTATTTTAAACTAAAGGTGAAAATTTCCACTGTTTTAACCCAAAAAGAGTTTGCTCAAAAAGGTTTTGCTGAAATAGATTTGCTGAATTTACCTCAAATCATTAGTTTATAATCATTAATTTTTATCTTAACAACGTTATCCGGATATTGAGTAGTAAAATTAATTGAAAGTTTATTTTTATGCTGAAGAAACTAATTAAAA